GCGCCTCGAAACGCCCTTTCTGTCTACGAAGGCTTCAATGCAGCCCCCCATGCCGTCTAGGCGGAACGCCGGCAAGTGCTGTGTCCATGTTCGGTTCCTTGCCCCAGATCGCCTCTCCTGCCCGAGGCATTCGCAGGGTCCCCCAAAAGACGACGCACGCGACCTGATAAATACTACACAAGTGAATACACACATCCTAAGCACCCCAGTGTTGGGGCTCACTCCCCGGCGTACAGATCCACCACAATGTTGATCGCCGCGACGACAATCTCAGCCGCGATCAGTACGATTACTGAAACATGTCAGCAGATGTCCCATCGCAGGCAAGATCGGTACGAAACTGCAATGGAAGGGCGCGGAGCAAACTCACCGATCCACTCGAGCTTCTCGCCGTGGCCGTGACTCAGCTCTCCCTTCAAGACGGCCAGCAGGTCGGCAATGACGTCCAGCCTCTCCGTCAGCAGGCCGACGCGCTGGTCCATCTCGAGGTAACTTCGCACGGCCTGGTAGACGGGTTCCAGCTGCGGCTCGACCCAGAAGAGTTCGGGCGTGTCGAGGACGGAGCCGTTCAGGTGGATGTTGATGCGCAGGATGAAGAGCTCGCCGATCTGCATGTTGATCTGCTTGCGGCTCAGGTCGATTTTGCCCGTGTTGGCAATCTGCGTAGGAATGTCCTTGCACGTCTCGACCGTTGAGGCGATCAACTCTTCGAACAGGGACGTCTGCTGCTGTCAGTCTGGGTGGTAAAAAGGAGGCACCAAGAGGGGGAAGGCATGTGAGTCGTGTGCCATAGGACGTTCTTACCTTGACGCTCTGCGCGAGCGCGTGCGAGATGGCCAGCTTGGTCATGTAGTTGTTCTTGTCCCGCAGCGTGATAAAGTCGTTGTAGATGCGGGCCTGGTACTCCCGCGTGTAGTAAAAGTTGAAGAACTCGGCCTCGACATCGTCCGGCGCCAGCTTCTCCGTCTCAAACTTGGAGATCTCCTTCAGGAAGCGCTTCTCCTGGTCGAGCGTCATGCCCCATATCACGACGACGCCGTACTCAAAGAGAAACACCTCGGGCGTGTGTATCTCCGTGTCGAAGTCCTGGCTGTTCTCGATCGGCGCCTCAATGTCGTGGGCGCCGTCGTGCAGGAACCCTTCCTCGAAGCCCGAGTCCTGCGGGCCCTGCGCGGCGAGGTCGAGGAGGCCCTGCCGCTCGAAACCTTCGGAAAAGTCGCCCGTCGAATGGCGCCGCTCGTATGCCTGGACGGGGTTCGGCTGTGCGCCGACGCGGCGGTCACGCCTGTTCTCGACGCTGTGGCTGTAGGTGTACGCCGAGTAGAGGCACTCGTCGATGAGTTTCGGGTTGGCGCCCCGTGACTTGCCGCGGCCCTTCATGAACCGCATGAGGCCCTCCATCTCGTACTTGTTCGCCGTGCTGTAGGCCGTGACCCGCGGCAGGCGTTCGCGGTCGGCCTTGCCCAGACGTGCCGCGTCGCGCCGGGCCGTGGGGTCCTTGATGCGGGTGTACTGGGAGTAGACGTCTCGGCCGCTCTCCTCGTCCTCCTCGCCGGGTTCGGGGTTGGGCAGGAGCTTGAGCTTCTGTGCGTTCTTCGTGCTTCGCTGAGGACCAATCTTGGGCGGTAGCGGGAGAGGGAGGGTGTTGGAAGGGGAGCCATGGCTGTTTCTCCTGCGCAGCTTGTTGTTGATGGAGGAGATGGCCGAGCTCTGGCCCGGGGAGGCAGTGGCGAGGTGGAAAGAGTGGGAGTGTCGGGGGCGCGGCTGAGCTGGTTCTGGTTCTATCGTCTTGGACACAGGATTCTGGTGGAATGTAACATTCCGGGCCGTCTTTGGTCGTGTCGATGTGGGAGAGGTGGCAGGTGGGAGGAGGGGCGTATTCTCGCTGGCTTCGCCGGAACTTGGGGTCGTCTGATCGTCCATGCTGATCTCTGGCTCAGGAATTGCTGGGGTATCACGGTAGTTTTGAGACAAGAGAGAAAAGAGGCGCACGTCGGGGCGTGGGAGCAAAAGAACGATCAACCAATTGGGTTCAAAGCATGTCGTACAAGATATCGGCTCACAGCGGGAGGGCAGAAGCTCCGTCGGAGATGGTCTGACGTTGAGAGCTGCTGAGCAAAGACGGGGGATAAGAACGTGCGGCGTAACAAATCGAGAGGTGGACAGACGCACCTAAGCACAAGTATGGATGACGTCTGAAGTCATTCTCTGCATTGGGACTGGGCTGGAGCTTGAGCCGGTTGTTTGGCTGGCCACATGTGCGTGCCCCGCTTTCCCACACCGACCCTGACCGGGGCAGTCTGCGAATATCGATAGTGACATTCTACACATGTTGGACATTTAGGTTTCAATGAAATTTGTTGAATTTCATGAAAGGGTCCGAGGCTTGGGTCATATAAGACTGGCGTCGGCATGTACTGCGGTCTGGTACACTACCGGTCGTTTTCCTGTGCCTGCTGTGCCACCATGTGCTCGTGAATCGACGCAAGAGCCTCCTGATCGCGGAACACCTCGTCGAACCTCTTCAGCAATCCTTCATTATCTGTCAAGCATGTCCTAGCTTCATCTAGAGACTCATACAGGACGCTCCGTTCAAATTTAGTATCTTAAGTCCTCTTGAAACACGCGTTATACTTCTCGTGCTTCTCGGGATTAATTTGTTCCTGCAATGACAGTGTCCCAGCTTCGCAGCACAATATCCAGGCACAAGACATGAGAGTGGACAACTATGGGACGATTGACTGGCCAGGCCGACAGCATGCCTTGGGAGGAATATTATGTGTGGATATGGACGTGCAGATGAGCCCTGCTCCTCCTGCCACTGAGCAGGTGTCTGATGCTGAGATGTCAGCGGTGCGGCAGCTGTTGGACGATCTCCCTTACCGCTCGATCCAGAGTAGGCGGACAATTCATGAGGACCTGTGCCGGTTGGAGGAACTGGAGCCGCCCTGTGGGCTGAAGCCGGAGCGATTGCCGACTTATCACATCCCGGCCCATTTTAGGCTGTGCAACATTCACTAACATTGTGCAGTGGCCGGGCGAAGACGAACCTGGATGTCTTCCGAGAAGTGAATCCCAGGAATCCACCACTGTGTATCTGGTTTGGCGTCCCATTCTTGATGCTCTCGCTGAACCTTGTCGACGTGTGCTCGCATTTGCTCGAGCAGTTGCTCACGAGTTGGGGACTCAGTTGCGTTGGACTGGGTCTGCTCTTTTACAGAAGTCATTGTAGTCAGTGGTGCAGGGTATTTCAAGTAAACGCAATGATCCAACGCGCTGGCACGAATGATCGAGACCACTGAATCTGCAAATCCGAGTGAATCTATGAGGATACATAACAATGACGGATGACACGACATAATCGGGCTCCAGGTGAACACGAAGAGCTTCCCCGCATCCATGGACTGTGTACAGCACTCGGTTGTCAGCTGCTCAGTCGACGGATCATCCAAAGAGTCCCCGATCGGGCCTGTTGTCGTACGACTTTAATTGTTGGTCACCAGGCACCGACCTTGGCAGGCGATTCAACGCACTCTCACACCCACGGCAGCAGCCCTCCCATAAACATCTCGAGACACAAGTGTTCGGAACTAAGGCGCGCCAAATAGGGAAACAAGAAAATTAGGGAAGCAAGCAAGAAAAGTAGTAGCTTACAGATGAAGCTGAAAGCCATGCCCTCAGGGCGTCATCAACTTGACCTCCATTTTCAGCCCCGCGTCACCCACTCTGTCTACAAACTTTTGCCCCAGGCAAGAAGCTGTATATACGCCACCAGGCAGCTTCAAATTATCCTCGAGAAGAGAAAGCGCCCCTTGAGCCATCATCATGCCACTCACTGCCATGTTGTCAACTCACAGACCTCCTCCAAGACGTCAAGATAGGAGAACTCACAATCGTACATGCTGCCGTCGAACCAAAGACGGCTGAAAGCAATCTTGTCTGACTTGGGCGTCACATCAGGGATAGCAGTCGCCCGATACTCGACTCTGTCCTTCTTGCTGTCGGCCTTGGCTGGCCCCTGTCCGGGTTGATACACGAACCTATGAGCAACGTGTCGAAGTGGTGTGCCCAAGATGATGATGCCGAGGAACAGAGCAATGTGAACGAAAACACCGTGAAACAGGTTCCGCACCCGGAAGTATTCCTTAAATGAAAAGTTGGGCCCGTAGGATTCTTGCTCGTTGAGGGATGTGTGGAGCCCCCATGATCTCTGCACGATGGCGGCGTCGGTGGTGCCAGCGAGGGAGGTGGTTACGGTGCCAAGTTCGGGGACATGTCGGGCACCAAATATCTTCGTGAGAATAGTATCGCGCGACGGGGCCCTGGTTGGATTTGGGATGGGGGAGAGGGCATAGGGCCTGAAGGATGCCTTCACTTCTTGCATTGAGAAGTTATCAAGCAGAGTGAGGACTGTGGCCAAGGTACCTCCAGAAGGGGCGGCACTGAGTTATTACGTGTAAGTAGGTATCAACGGAGATCGCTGTGTGCAATGAGAAACTCACTCGAGGGTGTGAATCGCGACTGTGACCTCGCCCGTTTTGGCAGATAGCTTCTCGCGAATAATCTTGGCCATGGCCCAGGTCATGAGATCGGGAGGGGCCGACTCAAGACCAACTTCAGGAAACATCAAGGCGCCGCTGGCCTGAGCGACCTTGCCATACTTGGAGATCATCTTAGCGACAAAGGGCACCTCGCCCGTAACGTCAAAGTAGTGGGTGCCATTCTCAGCACAAGCCTTGAACGCATGCTCGCCATATTTTCCATAAGGGCCGACGGCTGAGATGAGAACAAATGTCTTCTTTGCAAGTTCTTGCAAGTCTCGGTCGTTGAGATTGCAGATCTCAACCTCTGTGATGCATGTAAGCGTGTGCCTCCCAGTGTCATGCGGGAAGTGAGACGGGTCAGACGTCAAAATCCTAGCACCATGGTGCACGCACCTGGTTGGACTCTGTCAGGGTTCAGCTTTTCACAGTCCGCAACGACCGTCTGGAGCTTGAATTCAGAACGGCCAGCGACAGCCCATCTCAGGTTGGAGGGAAGATGGGTTGCTATGTGCTCGGCTGCAAATTGACCGGTGTAGCCTGCGAGTCGTCATGTCAGCGAAATCAGTCTTTATGAGAGGCCAGTCCACTATGGCCACACCTGTTGCGCCAAAGACGACCACATCGTACTTCCGGCCATGTTTCTTGAATGTCATGATCGATATTGCGGGTCGGAGTGATCTTACGCGGGGAGATTGGCTCGACAGCTGTAAAGTAAAGTCCTGAATGTTTGTGTCGCCAGCTGCCAAACAGAGGGGGGCCAAATGGGGCGAGGACCTACTTATCCTTGGAATAAGTAGTTCTACACCGTCTTCCTTCAAAGCCTGTATCCGTACCTCTCGACATGTCATTCTCCGAAGGCCATATGGACCGGTCTCCTTTTGAGGAAGTTTATTTGCTCACGAACACAGGAGCAGAACTGCCTGGACAAAACATCTGTCTTGTCTACACAACAGTGGTCATTTCATCGCTTGACAGTCATGCCATTTCAGTGAAGTGACCAGATCATGCCACTGATGATGCACTGTGTTTCACTCAATTATTGAGTCATGAAATCCAAATCGACCTTTGGTGAGCTTGATCCTCAAGGCCCTAGCAATCCCTGGGACATCGCCTCTCGGTTGGAAAAGCCTCCCAAACGCTGCATTGATGAGAAGGGCAATCTCGAAATGGGGCCAAGACGGTGTAAAGCATCTCGAGTGAGGCCAACTGGCGCCAGTTGTTGGTCATTCCCCGGGTCACGTCAGCTCGCTAACCGATAAGATAGAAAGCTCGGACCACGCACATCTGGCTCCGCACAACAAGCCCTACCACAGAAACCGCATCGACGGGCAAAATTCTTTTCGTATGTGAACCGCGCCCGACGCACCCTTCTTCAATCAACCACCCATCGTCGACAACTCCCTACCGACTACCCCCTCCAACATCATTCACAATGGCCAAGCGCACTAAGGTTCGTCGGACTCTTCACTTACCATAGGCACGCTCGTCCGCCGTCGATTATCGTATGCTCTCGGAAAACCGTACCCCTCATCCAAGTATTCAATGTCGAATTGGGAATCTGACCCGACCCGGACCGCGACCAACCTGGAGCAACGTCGAGAAACATGCCGACTACCTAGCTGAAAGGAAATGCCGGAGATCTCGGCTTGTCACTGAGAAGAACGCCCTTTGTGGCTTCCCGGACCTGCGATTCAATATTATCTACCAACCTCTCCTAAAACTGGAAGCCGTTATACAACATATGCCTCGGGCATGATCTCCGCATTCGGGTCCAAAAGCATAACATTACCCGACTTTGCTGTCTACTGTCGTGAAGACAATGGTAGTGAAGATCTCTCCGACCGACGGCTCTCTGCTCACGGGAGCACTTTCGATTCGACACTTGAATACTTGGAACGGACTCGAGCATCGGATCACGACGGACGGGAGCCCCTTGAGACCACAAGCTGACCCCCACCATAGAAGGTCGGCGTGACCGGAAAGTACGGTACCAGGTACGGTGCCTCCCTGCGTAAGCAGGTGAAGAAGATGGAAATCTCCCAGCACGCCAAGTACACCTGCACCTTCTGCGGCAAGCCTACCGTCAAGCGTCACTCCACCGGTATCTGGAACTGCCACTCCTGCAGGAAGACTGTGTATGTAACTCTCCAACTTCGATTCGTTGCAAGGTCCATTGCTAACATCTCTCCAGTGCCGGCGGTGCCTACGTCGTTGCGTACGTTGTCACGGACATGATGCCCCCTCGCTCATCAACCCGCATACTAACATGCCCTCCACAGCACTCCTGCCGCCGCGGCCATGCGCTCCACGCTGCGTCGCCTGAGGGAGATTGCGGAGGTTTAAGCGAAAGACGATGTCTGGTGGACGGTTTCTGCTTTGCATTTTCGGGCGGTGTATGGGAAAACCCGGGTATTGCAGCCTACATCTTCATGAGGACGGACGGACCCGGTCTCAATGGTCTTCGGTCAGCTGCCCATAGACACCAAATGGTCAGCAATGGAAAAAAGGGAAATGAACGAACACTCGACCAGCAGCCCGCTGGCCCCAAACACGACTTGATGCATGATGAATCTGTCTCATAAGCTCGTGACGATGAAATGTGTCTTGACGATGACGTGAAAGCTTGCGCCGGCACCGTGGCTGGTGATACTTTTGAGGGCCTTGTTCCTCTTAGTGATACTGACAGAACCTCATTTCGCGATTCTCATGCTATGGTTGATGCCTGCGCCTCCTGAGACTTCGGTCAGGGATGGATCTTAATGCTTGAGACGACACGAACGCTTGTAGGCACCATCCCGCATCGGATACTCCGAGTAGCGCGATGCTCGAAGACCATCGTCTTAACTCAAAGATATTCAGCTTTGCTGAGTTTGCGCCCATATCCCACTATTCTCTCCTGGAAATCTTTAATCGAGGTACCTATTGTGTGGTTCAAAAGACCATGAGAAACCTTGCGGTCTGCCTTATGTAAGCCGAAAGCCGTCTTGTAAAGCAATCATGGAAAACGTCAACCCACCACTCCCCCACCTGTGCATCAGTAATTCTGAACTGAATCTACAAAGATGGGGAAGAACGACAAGAAGCCCGCCGGCGATAAAAAGGCCGGCAAGGGCTCTGACACGAAGGACGCCAGCAAGGTCAAGGGCGCGCAGTCCATTAACGTCCGGCACATTCTGGTACAACGCACCCGCACCTAGTACTTCAGGCCTTCGTCGTGCCTCGCTAGTCCTCACAGACACGATACTAACAACATGCCAGTGCGAGAAACACGGAAAGAAGGAGGAAGCATTGGCGAAAATCCGTGACGGAGCCAAGTTTGACGATGTAGCAAGAGAATTTTCCGAGGACAAGGCACGTCAGGGAGGCTCTTTGGGTTGGAAGAGCCGGGGAAGCCTGGATCCGGCGTTCGAAGAGGTAGCTTTTGGGCTCGAGGCGAGCTCAACGGGCAGTCCCAAGTGGGGAGAAGCCAAGACAGGATTTGGGTATCATATCATCATGGTGAGTTGCATCGTTGCTCTTTGTTTGGGGAGTGGGCCATGAGTTGTCACCTCTGGAGACTGTTTGCTAACAATGAGTGTTATTAGGTCGAGGGGAGGAAGTGAGAGTTTGGTATTCTCAACATGGGAATGGCATTCCTCATCATACATGAGCCCTCATACATACGCTCCGTGTATCTTTGGTGTTTGGCACGTTATGCGGTGTATACGAGGCTCATGCCCATGCTGTTTTGTAATTCCAAAAGAGTGTTGTGACACGCCTTGTGACACGCCTCTGATAGCTTCAAGTAGCGATAAGGGGTTCTACGTTTGGCTTGGTTGTGACTCACGAGTCAAAAAGTGTCGTTGCATGATATACAGGTGAGAACCACGGGTAGCTGCGAGTCAAACGGGTGCTCAAGAAGACATTATAGTCTTCTGCGAATTGAGTTGCGAGACACATGCGAACACACTATGCTGGCGAGATGCCCGAGTGAGGTGCGCCCTGACGGGCATTTTTTGTCTTTTTGTCTTCCATACGTAGCCCTACCCAGGTAACCGTCATGATGTGCAACGCCAGCTGAAAAAAGCTAGAGTACAACCCAAATCGTCGCAATGCCGGATGAATGCCACATCCACACTGCCTCTATACCCTTCCTGCCTTTGACGCCCATCTAAGCCCGGCGATCTGTTTACTGCTCGGTCTGGAAGTAGTTGAGGAGGATGGAGCGCTCCTGCGACTCCTCACCCCAGTCCTTGACGACGACGCAAGAGCAGTTGACGACCTTGCGCGCGTTACCCTCACGGTCGAGAACGCCTGAATATGGCATTAGTTCATGTCCATAGCTGGTACTAGTAGATGTGTGAAAAACGTACAGAGACCGGCCCACTCGCCGAGCTGCTTGCCGTCGGGAACCTTGATCAGGGGGATCTTGTGCTCAGAGCAAAGGGCGATGACGAGCTTCTTGTAAGCCTCCTCCTCGCAGGCCTCGTTCAGGACGCACATGTGGGCCTGGCGACGGTCGAGGGCCTTGGAAGCCTCACGGAGACCACGGGCAAGGCCGTCGTGCATCAGGGAGAGCTTGAGGACACCCTTGAGGGCATCCAGGACAGACATCTGGCCCTTGGAGCCGCTCTCGGCGGATACCTCGACCTCATCGGCGACCTCGGGGGCGTTGTTCTCTTCTACGTCCGACTGTGATGCGACAGAGCGCCGTTAGTCATGGCTCCTTGGGAATATTGTGTGGTTTGATGGTCGATGCACGGGGTGCTTCCAGGCGAGAGCGCGGCAAGCAGGTTGCCCACCCGTCTTCTTGTACCAGGGAGGGTGTTTGGCGGCATTGCCGGGTCTTCACGATACCCCGCGCATGCTATCTTCTCCCGCACAATACCAGGGGTATTCAGCAAAACTTACCATCTTGGCTGATTTTCGGTGCAAGTGGCAGTCGGTGCGATCCTCGAAGAGTGTTGTAGTTGGTGTATGTGGTTATGTAGTAGTAGGGTTACAGGTGACCTCTGACTTTTGTCAATTCGCGACTGAGGCGGAAAGGTGGGAGTGGATGACAGTGCACGCTGAGGTTTGTTTGCCAGCCGTCACGAGTGCTGATTGGTGCACGAGGTGGATCTAGGGCAATTTTTCGATTATTTTCAAGGCGCACCGAATTTGGGCGGTGTGCGACACCATTTCGCGAAGCTCGGCCCTCTTCGACTCTGTCTTGACTTTTTCCCCCTCTCCACCCAACTTCTTCCGTCTTTCCTACTCTACAACCTTCTACGGAACCTTTGCGAGGTATGTATTACCAACCTGGCCCGCCTGGGGCACTTGATTGAAGCAGGACGGCACATGCCTTTTCACGATGGCAGAGGAAAGCAATCAGAGGAGTCGACCATAGCGAGCGAAACCGACAAGGAGTGATGTGCGCGCAAATGCAGTGCGAAAGCGCTTGCATCGCAGCAAGCCTCGAGGCCACCCGACTTGGAAGCACGCCGCAACGGGACGATGATGACCTCTGATACGCTTCTCCTCTTCAGCACTGAGCGGCAGAACCCTCCTTGCGACATGCATCATGCGCGCCTTGGAGGGCACTCTCCCTGCTCACGAGCCTCGAAGGCTAACCTCCAATCCTCCTTTGGTAGATACCTCATTTCCACTTCCTCGACTTGAGAATCTCCACCCCCGACAACCGTCAAGATGGTCCGCACCTCCGTTCTTCACGATGCTCTCAAGAGCATGAACAACGCCGAGAAGGCCGGCAAGCGCCAGGTCCTCATCCGTCCTTCTTCCAAGGTCATTGTCAAGTTCCTCCAGGTCATGCAGAAGCACGGTAAGTTCTCTCTTATGTCCTGTTGCTCTCTCTCGTTAGAGTATCAGTCGCACCCTCGTGGTTCCGGAGGGCAAAATCAGAGATGGTGTAAATCCCATTCGGCTTGATAACTAGGGCTACGGTTTCAAATCCCCACGGCCCAGCCCCTATAAACTGCCGATATATCAACTTTTGGCAGAGATCTTACACCTTCTCTGATTTTATCTCCTGACGTACAAGGTTTAATCTTCTGCTACAAATCACTAACTCTTGTCCTTCAAGGCTACATCGGCGAGTTCGAGGAGGTCGATGACCACCGCTCCGGCAAGATCGTTGTCCAGCTCAACGGCCGCCTCAACAAGTGCGGTGTCATCTCCCCCCGCTACAACGTCCGTCTCGCCGACCTCGAGAAGTGGGTCGTCAAGCTGCTGCCCGCCCGTCAGTTCGGCTATGTCATCCTGACCACCTCCGCTGGTATCATGGACCACGAGGAGGCCCGTCGCAAGCACGTTGCCGGCAAGATCATCGGTTTCTTCTACTAGAGAAAAGGGCCGAGGGAATGGGTTATGAAAAAAAAAAGTACGGACGGAAGGGTTCTGGACTTGGGTCTGCATCACGCGGCGTTAGGGGGGTTTGCCAGTTTTGGCCGATACGATACCACTTGAAGCTCTCAAGCTAGTTGCATATTGAGCACACTGCAATCAACCCGCGCGAATGATCCGATACTACGTGCTCCGTTGTACCTATGAATGTCAAATGGTGAATGAGTCTGATGGTGCGTGTACAAATGCGGATGCCATAGAGCACTCGCCAGTGGCTACATCTGCGGAAACCCCTCCCTCCCCAAAGAAAAATAACGCGGATCAGTTGTGTAGTTCAATTCAGGCACTTCAAACACAAACAACCGTGGTCTTTCCTCGCAGCCGTTGCCAGTCTGTGGTGCGTCTTGGAAGCTCTACCATGGCAAGCATGGGCACTGGATTTGTGGTTTTGGGGATGAGAGGGGTGGAGTGCTCGCTCAAGTGACCTGCTGGCCAATGGAGCTCAATTTAATGCAGATCCCTAGGCTTGAACCTTGGCGTGCCAACATCTCAGGAGACACGACCACGCATCTTATCTGGGCCTTCTGAAATTGAGGTACCACCTTGGCCTCGACTCGGTCCGCACCAAGTAGCCTGCATCCCACCTTGCAACGAAACAAATGCTCCGATGAGATCCAGAATCAAACTCAGTCGACCTGCACCAGTGTAACGACACCGGGAGCACCTGTCTGGCCACCCTTCTACGACTCCTCGAGCGGATACATCCAGAATCAAGACCAGCGACCTCGAAGCTTGGCCACCATGCGCCGAAGACGCCAGCTCACTGTCCTCGGCCTCATCGTCTTCTTGACCCTCTGTGCCTGGTCCTTGATTCGCATACCGGCCAAAAGGGCAGCCGCCGAAGAAGCCCGTGCCAGAAAGGCAAGGGATCGAGCAACGTTCCCGTCCGAAGATGGTCCCCGCAGATATCGCAGGACGCCGCCGGAGATGCGTCCCAAGGCGCTCCCCGACAAAGCTGTCCACCCGGTTCTCCAGCTCATATCCGAAGCCGAACGCGAAATGGAGAAGCTCAAAGCACGACAGTCCAAGACTTTGCAGCAGGCTGTAGAAGAGTACAAGCGTCGCAATAACCTGCCGCCGCCACCACACTTCGACAAGTGGTTCGAGTTCGCGAAAGCCAACGGTGTCCAGCTTGTGGACGAGTTCGACATGATCAACGAGATGATCACGCCATTCTGGGGTCTCAAGCCGAAAACAATTCGTTCGAGGGCAAAGGAAGCGCTGGGCCACGACAACCAGCTCGTCATGATGCTGATCCGCGATCATCAAGTCACCCATGTCCAGGGTGCGCACACCTGGCAGCGCGAGGCGACCGCTGGTATGGTTTCAAAGTTCATCCAGTACCTGCCCAGCATGGACCTCGCATTCAATATCCATGACGAGCCACGTGTGGTGCTGCCCCACGAGGATCTTGCACGCCTCATCAACATCGCCAAAAACGTCAACATGCCCAAGGCCAATGCCGCGAAATGGCTCAAGAACAAGTTCTCTCCCAAGCCCAGGGAGGTCGGTCGTGGCGACGGCATTAACGAGGTCAAGACTACGCGCTTCAATGTATATGCACATCAGCCGGTGTGGACCACATCCCGCATGTCCTGTCCTGCAGACAGCCCCGCCCGTTCTCTCGAGGACGAGGGCAACCATGATGATGCATCAAAATTTGGCGTCACGGAACTGGGTTTCGTGTACAACATCACCGCTCTCTCCGATATCTGTCTCTCGCCGTCATTGGCCACCACCTATGGATTCTTTGACGCCCCAAACGCGTATAATATTGCCCACGACCTCTTTCCTATCTTCTCGCAGTCAAAGATCTCTTCTTATCAGGACATCCTTTATCCGTCCCCGTGGTACTGGTACGAAAAGGTCGAGTACGACGACAAGGTCGACGCGCCATGGGCCAAAAAGAAGGACCAGCTCTACTGGCGCGGCTCGACCACGGGCGGCTACAGCCGCGAGGGGGGCTGGCGGCGCCAGCACCGCCAGCGTTTCGTCCAGCGCATCAACAGCAAGGCGCGTGCCCAGATCCTCGTCGACGTCGCCAACGAGCCGGCCCCCGGCGCCGACCCGAAGACGCCGCCAACCACGCCGAACACGCCACAGTGGGAGGTCCGCCAGGTCGCCCGCGGTGACTACCAGGACGTCGTTGACGTGGCCTTTAGCTACGTCGGACAGTGCGACCCTGGCGACTGCGACGCGCAGCACGAGTTCTTCAAGGTCCAGGAGCACGCCGAGCAGACGGACGCGTGGGCCTACAAGTATCTGCTCGACATTGACGGCAACGCCTTCTCGGGACGGTTTTACGCCTTTTTGCGGTCCAAGAGCCTGACGTTCAAGTATGCCATCTTCCGCGAGTGGCACTTTGAATGGATCAAACCGTGGGCACACTACATCCCGCTCAGCCTCCAGGGAGATGAGTGGCTCGAGAGCATCCGCTTCTTCCGCGAGGAGGAGGCCGGCATCAAGGAGGCGGAGAGGCTGGCCAAGGCGAGCACCGAGTGGGCTGGGAAGGTGCTCAGGAAAGAGGACATGGAGGTGTGGTTCTTCAGGATGCTGTTGGAGTGAGTACCCCTTAGCGATATGAAACTTGTGGGATGTCGCCGGCATTGATGCTAACTCGGTCGCTAGGTACGCTCGCGTGATCGACGACAACAGGGAGGCAATCGGCTTTGACATGGATGCTGTGAGCAATTGAGGCTTGCAGATCCTCCATCTTCTGACCGAACGCGTACATGCTTGCGAATTTATAGTATGGGAAGGACTGCATATGTTTACGCTCGGAGTTCGGTCTATTGTATTATCAGGATATCAGGCATCTTCTGCTGTAGAGCACGGGACGCTATGTTGAGGCTGTACAATTCTTCTATCATGAGTCCTCTGAGACCAGATGCCCTTTTGACGGAGCAATGAATTTCACGGCTGTTTCGACTTTTCATGTGGATGAAACTTTTAGGCATCTCGACGATATGAATACTAACTGAATCAGGCTCAAAGCGTCTCGTGCAAGGCAGCCAAACCCAACCTGAACATTCACATGCCCTTTTTTACAATTGTGCACGCATCTCGCAACCTGATCACCTCTGCACACCCAAGAGACCCCATGCCAATCGCTCATCAGTCTTCCTCGCCCTCAGCGTCACCGTCCTGCTCCGATGGGGAACGGCTCGCGCGCGCGCGCGACTCCGCCATGTCATCATCGGCATCGTCTCGCCTGCTCCTGCCACCGACAGTCTCGTCCCCGTCCTCGGCGTTGGGGTCCTCCGTCGCCTCGGCGTGGCCAAGGTAGGGGTTAGCCTTGTACTTGGCCGCCAATTCGGCAAACGAGGCGTCGGGATCTTCGAGGGCCACGTCCATGTGAGTTGTGACCTCCCTGTCGTCCTCGATCTGACTCTGCGAGCGAAGAATGTTCTTTGCGCGCTGGGGCCGGATGGTGGCGCGCTGGATGACGGGATAAAAGTAGGCAGCGCGCTGGCGGACGACGTCGGACCCCTCACTGACGGGGCCCTCCTGGTCGTTAAAATTGACAACGAGTTCATCAGTGTACTTATCGGCGGCGGCAATCTCGGTTTCCTTTGTCGTCTCGTAGGAGCGCAGGCGCGTGAAGCGGAAGCAGGGGCCGCCGAGGGTGCTCGAGCTGTGGGTGTAGAGCTCAGGCGAGTCGCGCTCCGGGTTGTCAATGTCAAAGGCGGAGCGAAAGCGCTCGCCGGTCTGCTGGCTGATCGGCAGGAAGAAGTGGTAGTCGAGAAGGTTGGAGGGGCGAGGGAAGTTTTCCGGGTCGCGGTTGTGGTCCTCCAATGCGGCCGTGAAGGCCTCCTCCTCTTCGGCCGTCTTTGCAATGGGCTGCAGGATGGCGCTGAGCAGACGATCATCGTACGTCTTGTCGGTGGAGACGGGGTTGGTTTGCAGCTTGATTGTGACGTACGCACCGAGGTCGGGGAAGGCGTCAAGATCAGGCAAGAATGGGTACGATTCAACGACTGACAGGCCAGGCTTCTTCGATGGATGCTGGAGGGAACGCGGCTCCTTCGCGTAACGCTGAGCCGCTTCAAAGGACTTTTCAATCTTGCGACGGATGGCGGCAGGCGATCCAATATCAACTTCCTGCGCGACTCGCTTCTCAGGTCTCTTAATCTTGGGTTTCAAGAAGGCACTGGATGATGACGGTCCTCGCTTGGAGGCGACAGAGGAGATGTATTCGGTACGGCGAAGGAAGGAGACAGACGTGTCGCCGCCCTTGGACCTGCCCAGCGTAGATAGCGGTCGGAGAAGTGCTCGATCGTGGGGATGGACATGCGGCTGAGTGGATGATGCTTGAATGGCTAGAGATGGTGTTAAAGGGAAATATTTGTTAAGTTCAACCGCGGCATGCTACTGACAGCTTTCGTCTCCGTCGAAAATGCCAGGCATGCCCACGAGGTCAAGGGGCATGCCGAGCTCGGCATCAGCCTCGATGTTCAGCGGTTGTTCCCTCACAAGTCGCGACGCAAAGCTCGGGTTCGTGTATTGGCCGCTGGCGAGGCCAGTGTTGGGTATGTCGAGGAGCTTGGGGGGATTCGGCGGCGGGGGCAGCGCATTGGAATATCTGATTCTCGCGATGAAATCTTGGTGGATGTTGCGCTCGCCGCTGCGAGGCGCAGAGGACGACATTTCGGAGGTTCAGACCTGATGCCTTGTTATTCGGGCTGTGCGCCTGGAGTCTGAGCGGCGAGAACGGGTGACAATGGTTGGAGGGAGCGGTTGGCGTGGTTGGCGTAGGTTGCGAGTTGGTGTAGTAAGAAACATTGGTGCTCCGACGACGTGAAGCTCAACTTCGTGGATAAGTGGGTCCAGATTCGAGGTCCAAGTGCCCGTTTTCTCTCAAAGCCGCGACCAGCAATGAAAGCTGCCGTCCGCCTGCCTCCTACGGCACATTTATATTATACAATATGCGTCAATAACCCACAGTGGATTTTGAAGGAATTGGCCATTATCTAGGCATTTTTATTCATTTCTGTGTCGGCTGATCATGGCCTCGAGGCTCTCAGCCCTGTCTGTTGCGACACAGGAGCTAGGAAGCGTGAGAACATATCACCTTGTCATCAGTGAACACGCCTGTTATGCCAATCAAGTCAAAGAGTAATATGACTGTCGGCAGATCATCAACTCATTCCTCCCTCGTTCGTCCGTTTCGTCCCCTCGAACCACGGACTTTGACTGAGCGTCTAGTCATACATGTATATCGACTCGCCCAAATACCAAGGGGGGGAGGGGAAAGAGCGCGTGTCTCATTCTTTCCGCGTCGTATCCGTCTATCCGAGTGTTGTACATAGTTAAAGAACACACTACATCGTCATCGAGCTCGTGCTCTTACTCGAGCATGATCTCCGGATTGCACGTTCTACCCAGTGCTCTACGTGCTGCTCTTGCGGTAGTTCTTCTTGCCAAACGTAAAGGGGACGTATCGGTACTTGATCATGTGCTGAATTTGCTTGCGCACTGGAGACAGAGTTAGCTAGGTTCACCTTGTGGCGCGGCAGGGGGGGGGCACCACGAGGCTGAAGAGCCCACTTACTCGTCAGGATGAACAGCATGAACCAGTACATGACCAGAACGGGCCAGAAGACGGGAACGTTGAAGACCTCGAACCAGCTGCACACGAAGCCGATGCAGATGGCGCGGGTAGCCCAGTACCAAAACTTGAACTCGGGCAGGCGGCGGATGAAGGGGCGGAACTCCTCGTCCTGCTTCGTGGGAAGGGTGCCGACGGAGCCGTCCTCCATCTCGTTGTCGATGGCCTCATTTGAGGGGTCGAACTTTGGCTGCAGGAAGGCGAGGAAGAGGTTGAGAAGATAGATGCCGAGAGCGTAGGCCACAATGTACCAGCCTTGGGCGAGAAGAATGCGCAGGAAGAAAGCGACGAGGCAGACGCCGGTACCAACCCAGCGGTAGAGCACGTGAGGGGTCGACTGGTCGAGTAGTGCTTGGTATTGCTGTTGAGTTGTGAGGTTAGCGATCGTGTTCGTCGATCTGAGGCTGAGGTGCGCATTGCGCACGACGGCAATATCGGGGGGCGCTCGCGACCAGGGGGAAATGGAAGAAGGGGCGTACCCTCTGGATCTTGGTGCCTTGCGCACTGACGGCGGCGAAGGGGGAAGGCTCCGGCTCCATGTTGTCCATTTTCGCAATAAGAAGAGGTGGTGCTTGAAGGTAGTCGGGCGATGGGAAGGTAGTGAAGATTGGGTTGAGGTTCTGTCTTCTTGAAGCACCGCGTCGCGATAGCTTTCCAGGATGCCTCCTAAAAGTCCGCCACGTTTAACACGTTACACCAGGGCAGGCTGACTTGTGAGAGCAGCTACCCGAGATTCTTCCGGGATCCCTCCCATCTGGGCTGCCTCTGCCAGCTGCTGGCGGGTGCGGCGTGGCTGTGCACTGTACGTATACCATGTAGAAGGAGCGGATGGAGCTCCTTGCCTGACTACAGGTACCTACCATTGCTACAGTGGGGAGACAAAAAGAACGACGGATTTTTGTTATGAGAAATACTGATTTAACTTTTAAAGTACTATAATAAAGTAAATTAAATAGATATTAGTAATCGAAGTAATAGAAGCTATAGCGTTAGTAAAGTTCTATGAGCATTATTAAATTCATTATTTATAGTGTTCTATAGAATAAGTAATAGAGGTTAGAAAACTACGTGTTTTGGTGTGAAGTCGGAAATCCGTCGTTTTTATTGTCGCACGACTGTACCTACCTGGATGCTAATTCCACAGCACCAGGATACTTCACCTACTGAAATCGCTGTCTCCGAAAAGATTAATCATTGTTGATAGTCATACAAGTGTATCAAGAGTATAAGCCGCCTTTATACGACCGAGAAATGAAATCTATTTCGCACCACGACCAACCCAACAACCGACCGAGTGGCTCCCACCTGGATAGATGGATCCCAAGCAGCATGCAACCTCCGCCTTGACGGCTTCATTACCTGTGTCTTGGCGCCTGCTCGCCTACGCCTGTCCCATCTAGCTCGACCGCAAGTTGCTGCGGAGCCGCCAGCTCTGGTTTTGGTGATGAGTCGTGCATCTCAACCCGGTGAGTCTGGTCCAGTTCTGACGCTGCCATGACCGACGGCGAAACTGGCATGTAGGAGGCTTTGCTCGGCGACGGATGGCTGACCCCAGCCTCGCTGCCTCCAGTAACGCCGGCAGCAGCTCGCTGACGCGACCGGCGGCGGAGGAACCAGAAGAGAAGACCGGCGATCGCCACAGCCGCTACGCCGCCCACGACACCGCCGGCGATGGCACCAACAGGGGCTGAGCTTGAGTTATCAGACCCAGGATCAGTGCCGTTTCCGCTGCCGTCACCACCACCACCGCCGCCGCCGCCGCCGTCGTCCCCCTGTTGGAACAGGGCCGCAACGCCGGACGTCCACTGAACCTCATCAAGTCCGCTGCTTAGGTTAGTGGCTGACGATCCTCACGCAGGAGAGAGGCAAACATACCCATCAGCGTACCACGACTTGATGACCTCGGGTGAATCATAATCCTCGGCATCGGCGTCATACTCATTCGTCCATTTCAGCTCCGTTATGTCAAAGACACCAAGGCCCTGTGGCCACGGGTCACGGTCTAGCCACAGGTCGGGCATGCCAGGTTCGTGGTTGACTCCGCCGATGCTGAGCATCTGGCGTTTGCCGACGACGAGACAGGCGTGTCCGCTGCGAGGACTCTTCGACTCATAATCGACCTTTTCCCAGTGGAAGCCGGGCAGAGTCAGGACGTAGGCGTCGTCATACGCCTGGTTATCGCGCTGGTTGCGGCCGCCGAAGACAAATCCGCTTCACGTCAGTGTTGGGTCCATGATGGCACTCATGACCTCGCGGCACTCACATCTCATATGTCCCGTTCTTTCCCTCGACGCCGACACTACAGTGAAAGATCCGCCCCGACGGCGCATTGCCAGTTGTCTGCTGGGAATGGAAGTCCCTTGTGACTGGGTCCATAAAGGTCAAGTTCCTAAAGTCAAGCAAGCCACGGTTCCCGCTACTGCCGCCGAGTTCGCGTGTCTCTCCGCCGAGCAGCATGATGAGCCCATTGGGCCCAAAGGTCGGGACGTACTCGGCAGACGCAGCATAGATGGTCCTGAAGGCCGACCAAGGCCCCTCGGTGTAGTTGGTCCACGCCTGTGTCGTAAAGTTGATGTGGATGAAGCCGGGCGCGGGGCCGGAATAGTTGACGTCGGTTGCGCGGGTCGCCACGCCACCAAAGTGGAAGGCCGAGTCTGGTGTGTTGCAAAAGGCACCACCCTCCGTGCGCCTGAGTTCACTGAACGAGTCTGGGTTGGCCGGGATCCGCGTCGTCCAGCCCCCTCCACCGGAGCTGTCTGCGGTGAATCGCCAGAGTTCCTTCTTCGTCACCGGGGCACCCCAAGACATGTGGCCGCCCCAGATGTAGAATGAGCCGGTGGACTTGTCGGTGAACAAGGCCTGTCTGTTCGTGTTGGGAGACGTCTTGCGAATCTCATTGATCGTGACGTCTGAGGGCTTCCATGACTTCGACATGTCGATAGAGAGAGTACGGTTCACTGAGGGATAATCGAGTAAGTTTCATGGCCATCACGTCGACTGAAAAGATGGCGCACTTACTTGCGTTGGACGGGCGGTCCTCGCCAGGGGGTTTGCCGTCGATGAGTTGCGAGACCTCACCGCCATCGAGATAGACATAGTCGCCGATCTGAGTTGCTCGCGTGGTGGCCCTGCGCAAGAAGTCTGCATTGGAAGGCACAGCAGCGAGGCCAAGCTCGTTGTCTCCGGCATCATTTTGCGCGCTGCACATGCCCAAACACAAGGCGAGGACTACGGCAACGCTACCCGTCATCGGGCGCACCATATCGACGACTTTCAATTAGCAATCGCTACTCGACGAGACAAGACAAGCCAAGGGAAGAAATTCGGTCGCTTCGCTGGATCAAGGTTCGACGGCAAGTCTCGCCTCGAGGACGATTTAAGAAGGGGACTACAATTAACGTTGGCGATCGGGGTAAAGAGGGACGCACGAGGGCACGGAAACACAGAATACAACAATGGGGCCGTAGGCTGACGAGACAGATATTTCCCAAAGGCACCTCAACCAGGGATCTGTCGGAAGTGTGTGCCAACCTGGGCCATTCCCTTGTCGGATTGCATGGATCAACGCTGATCACACTGGAGCGAAGGATCGCGGAGGTAGGCTTGGCAGTCTGAGGATGACAGCGATTGCTACGGTTCGTGCCCGCGCCCCCAGCACAGCGAATGATGCCTGGTACCTGAGTGCCTGGGCCGTCGGCAGTGTTGGTCAAACGGCTACTACCTCCGCGCCAAGAGGGTTCGGCGCGATGGGGGCGGCTGCTATTTCGGATGACAGTAGGCGTCCAAGGGGTCCAAGGCGTCCAAGGCGCTTGTGAGGGCGGTTCTTCGGAGGCTTCATTGGTGGTCTGCTTCAGCCCTATCCACTGCCAGGTACCGTTGTTCGATACCGTTGAGACGCTGAGCACCGACGCTGGCCACCGTTCAAACAAATCAGTACGCGGCAACTTCGAGCGAACACGGTATCCCTCTCACAGAGGTTTTCATGCGGTTCAGGTCAGAAGCATCCTCTTGCTAATTTCTCTCGATACAACCCCCATCACAGACCAAGGCATCACGACAGAATGATCGCATACGCGTGTCGAAGACCGACAGATGCAACCATGTGGCTGTACATCTGGGCGGTGATACACACGACAGGTTGGACAGGTTGGCCAGCTCGGTGTGCCAACAACGCCGAAAGCACACCTGCTGTACTCTGCATGGCCCTGCGACTGGTTGACAACATGGGGCACGGCTCGAAAGTTGATGCCCCATTCGGGTAGCCAAAATAGTGTTGTATCCAGGCGGGTCGGCAAGCTGCGGCTAAGATTGACAGCGTGCGATCCAATCACCAGCCCAAAACCAGTTGTCGAAGGCCCATTTCTGGTCGCTGCGCCCCATGATCTCACCTCGCGTCGCTGATTGAGCTGAGTGAGGTAGACGCTGCCGCCAGTTTCCTGTCAACCGCAAATTCACTGACCAACGCTCTGATCGGATCCGCCACATTTTATAGAGACCTACCTAATAAGGTAAATGCTCCTATAGGCTGGCTCATTTCTCAGGCTTGTTTCCTGAGTTGATCACAGCACTTCGAGGCCAGAGCAGCAACTTAGAACGCCTACCATCTCCAGCCCCTGACGGATATGCGAAGTGACGCAACGGCCGGCGTTCAGAAGGAGAGTTTTGACTCTTCGGGTTAACATCATTTTCGTCATAAGCAACTACAGCGACCAGGAGTGTGAAATGTAGAGCATACCCCTTTGGTGATCAGTACTTCACCTCCGTGGTTCTACCAGCTAATCCAGCGTGCCTGGTACTTACATTCGCGACATGTCAGCACCAAAAGTCATGTCACAAGGTGGAGGAAGGATTCTATACTTTTAACGCAAGCAACTATGGCACAAGAAAAATCATCAACGCTGTGTAAAGAAGCAAAGCTCGTCAGCATCTAGAGGTCCTCAGCATCGCCCGTGCCGAACAGCTCGAGCCTGACGCGTCCACGCTCAACGCCCAGCGCCTCCAGCTTGTGCAACACTTCGACCATCCACGCCTGGGGACCGCAGACGAAGTAATCCGTCTCCTTGGAGTCGAGGCCGAGGTCCTGGGCGCCGTCGAGGACGTCGAGGTCGAGTCGGCCCTGGAAGTCGTAGGCCTGGCCCTGCTCCTCGCCCTCGACGATAGTGTTGAGGAACACCTTGGACTGGACGTTGGCGTTGTCGGCCGTCACCTTTTTGATGTGGGCGGCAAAGGCCATCTGGTCCGTCCGTCGCGCGGCGTGGACCCAGCGGATGGGGCGCTTGGTCATCTTGGACTCGGGACTGGCGAGGACGGCGTCGAGGATGGAGGTCAAGGGCGTGACACCCACACCGGCAGAGAGGAGCACGAGCGGGGCGTCGGCCTTTGTGGCGTCTTTGATGTCGATGAAGAACTCGCCGCGCGGGTAGGTAATCTCAATCTCGTCGCCGACCTGGAACTTGTCGTGCAGAATGTTGGACACGACGCCCGGGTGGTCGGCGGACGTGGCGCCGGCGTCCTCGGCCGCGCGCTCCCGCTTGACGCTGATGCGGTAGTGGTCGCCCTGGGGCACCTCGCTCATGCTGTACTGGCGGCACTGCCAGACGTCGCCGTACTCGGGCACGCGCACGCGGATGCTGACGTACTGGCCAGGCAGGAAGCGCGGCAGCGGGCCCGTCGTGTCGCCCTCGGCGGGCTTGAGGTAGAAGCTCGTGACCGTGTTGGACTCTTGCTGGCGGCGGTCGATGCGGAACTTGCGCCAGCCTCGCCAGTCGCCGGCCTGGTCGTAGAGGTCGCCCTCGCGCTTGACGAAGATGTCGGCGAGCTGGCCGTAAGCGGCAACCCAGGCGTCGGCCACCTCGGGCGTCAGGCCGTCGCCGAGAACGGTGGCGATGGCCTTGATGAGATGCTCGCCGACAATGGCGTACTGGTCCGGGGTGATGCCGAGACTGACGTGCTTCTGGGCGATGCGCTCGACGGCGGGGCCGAGCTTCTGGAGCTCGTCGATGTGGGTGGCGTAGGCGAGCAAGGCGTTGGCCAGAGACTTCTGCTGGGCGCCGGAGCGCTGATTGCTGATGTTGAAGATGTTGTGGAGCTCGGGGTGGGCGCCGAGCATGCTCTTGTAGAAGACGGTGGTGATGGTGAGGCTGTGCTCCTTGAGAATGGGCGCCGTCGATTTGACAATGGCCGTCTGCGCTTCGGTAATGGCCATGTTGGGCGTTGTCGACGAGAATGTCCTAGCAATGGTGGTGGGCAGGCGAATAGCGGCGCGAGAGTTGCGCAGGAGCGAGCGGGACGAGGCGAGGTAGGACATGCGGGATGCTACCGAAGTGTAGGGAGTGTGGCGGCTTGAGAGACGCCTCGGGGTGGAGAGTTGTTGTGGGAGTTGTAGTGGTTGTGGAGTAGGCAGATGGGGGAGACTGTGACCTATGATGGCAGTGATGATGATGTTGATGATGATGATGATCTGTCTTTCACGATGGACAGGAGGTGGGCAGGCCAACATGCTATTTATCAGACTCCAGGAGGGCTGCTTGCGGCCAGCATGTCTTGCTGGATCCCCAGACCATGGCGACTCACGGCTCGTTTGACGGTCGACGTCAACAGGCCACTATTCCCGTGCGTGAGCGAAAAAAACTGACAAGAGAATCGAGACTCATCGGGCGTGACCGCACCTTGCGGCTCCGCAGGCTCTCCGTTCCGCTGAGGTTCTCCGGGTGGCATGATCTGCCGACGATACATCTCCGCGGCCCCGCAAAAGCCCTGTCCCGGCCGGGCTCGCGGGAGGCTTCGTTAGCAGGCCTTCTTTAGCTGTCTTTCTCTCCCTACCTAGCTGGTAGGAGGGACAGCTGTACTGTCACTCGTCAAGGCGTTCCCCACGTCCTGGGTAGGCCATGGGCCCATCGCCGTGCTGGCATTTGTCATGTTCGCATTGAGAGGCACGGAGCGACAGAAACATTTCTTCGGGCCATGCAGGTCTTGGCCTCGTAGACAGACTACGAGTGCCCTCTCCCGCGTACTACCTAGGACATCATGCTCAAATTGACTTTTCCCTGACTGCGTACGAACAAGGGCCTTGCCAGGACAACCCAGGACAACCCAGGACAACCCAGGACAACCCAGGACAACCCAGGAAATCCCGACCGGAGATGTGCATTCTGTCATTCATCAACAAGCGTAAGCAGACCACATCTCACAAGGCCATTGTGTCGGTCAGACAGTCAGTCAGCAACAAGACCAGCCAGGCCGTCTGTCGCACTGCCATTGATCCCGTCACACTCCCAGGAAAAAACAACATGTGAGAAGGCGAGCGCCGGGAACGTGGCCCTGATGGTCAGAGCAGCCCGTGACAAAACATGGACTGATCCCTCGATCACGGGGGTTGGGTGGGTCGGCGAATCCCGGGATTGTTCCGTCCTCTCCAAACCAAGCCAAACAAGGGAATAGGGCCTCTTCGTCCCGCGCCTCCACGCCAACCACGTTACGCCAAATGGTCAGCTCGGCGCGTGTTGTCCATGCCCTCGTGAACGCCATCTTACGATCCGTCGTCTGGGTTAACATCACGCCTTCGCTAGTGAGCGAGGGAGGGTGCTGCCAGAAGACGAGCGGCCGTACGATGGCGTTTTCCCTCCAACGCCTCCCTCTCTACCTACCTTACCTAGGTAGGTGCCTTACTTTATGTAGCCGCTATCTAGAGCACAGCCGAAGAAACGTCAAGCCTATGCTGCGCTTCAGGAAACTTGCACTTGGCGCCTTCACACGAGCAGTGATGTCCGTAACAGCACGTCCAGTCCCGGCAGCCCGGTCTGACGTGACACTTCTGACGCCGCATCAGCCATCGGTACACCATGCTCTCCTCCTCCGACAGCGTCGCATGGCTGTATCCGCACGCCGTCTTGTTGGCGCACCTGCCCGACAACCAGAGCGTGCGGTTCCAGCTCGCTGCGGCGCCCGGCGACAGGGCCGGCAGCTCTGCATCGACGCGCTGGCCCTGTGCATTTACGAGAATGGCGCCGCTCTTCAAGTCGAGGAACCTGCGCGCGCCGTCACGCCCGACGGCGGCGTGTGGCCAGTGCCGCCGCCGTGCAGGGCCGAGCCCTCGTCAGTTGGAGACGACGCTGCTGCTCGAGCCCACGTGGCCGCCAGGTGCGCGGCGTGGCCCTCGGAAGAGACGACGCTGCTGCTGGCCCTCGGGCTCCGGCTGACGGCCGTTGCCGTCAGGGAGAGCAGCGCGGAAACGAGCCCCGATAGAAAGCCGGTGCGGAAAGTACTCTCCATCCTGGCGGTCTTCCTGACGCCGAGGCTACTCGCCATGTATGCGTCGGTGTCGGTGTCGAGGAGGACAAGCACGAACGCGCTCTTTCTAAAAGAGGCACAGAATTACATATTCTGCTCGCTGAATCATGCTCGCGAACAGGGCGTGTTCACAAAGGACTCGTCCAGCTTGGTGAAACGAAACGATTCCTCCCGGCGCTTGGAATCGGTCTGCAACCCGCGCCCTGCAATCTTCTCTCGCGCCAAGTCACCGCACAAATTTTGGTACTTATCCGTGATATCACACAACTCTTGGTGCATGCTCTGGTACATACACCCGGGTCAGGATCGGACGGGCCGCATCGCTTTCATTGTATTTGTCAGACTCACCCGCGGCCATTGCATGCGTTGATCATCTGTAGCCTGGAAAGCGCCGAGGCGCGCCGCAAAACCGTTTGTCGCCACCGCAGCCATGTTGAGACTGGGTGTTATGAAGAAGTAGAGAAAAAAGTAGACGGGCCGTCATTCAGTGGTAGAAGAGCTTTGCTGGCGGCCTTATCTATTGCACCCTCTCGTCCAGCAGCCCAGGTAAGGTAGACAGACGTATCGGGCTGGCTCTGTAAGATCTCTGAAACAGCCCTCCCACATGCCCACCAGGCTGTCCTGCAGTTGGGCCCTCTGTGAACACGCGCGTCAACCAACAAGCCATCATCATTGTTGTCCTGCGGCCGCCGTGAGCGGCCTGATTCTCCCAAGGCTCAGCGAGCCTTGGGCCGATGCTCACGGCCAACACCCGAATCGGTGAACCGTACGCACTGGCTTTTTACACTTTGTGCTAGAGCATAAGGTACCCATTAGGAGAAGCGTGCCATGATGTACCGAGCTTGCCGCCAGTTGCTGGTTGTTCATCAATGTCATGAATTAACAGCTTTATCTACGCCGAGGCGGGAGTACGGCCAACCCATTTCCACATCTCATGCAAGGAGGAACACCCTGCTCGCTGCCCAACCCGCCATAAGAGAATCAATATAGAATGGGTATGATTCCGACGCCGATGATATGCAATCGCAGAAACCAAAGCACCTACCCGTCGAGGCGGACAGCCTACCTCGTCGAGTCCTTTGCGCTCAGAGAGAGCTTCTCTCATAGCCTCATCGGATAAGACTATCTATGGACGAGCAAGTCCTTGTTTCGCCTGTCACCATGTTAGCGACACGCATTAGACATGCAGCAGGGGATTGCTGACCTTCATCTGCTCGATTCGCGCCTTGAGCTGGCTCGTCACCTCGGCCGCCCGCTTCCAGCTTTCAACACCGTTAGTGCCGGCGCCTGAGCCCGACGCGGCTGAATGATGGGATGAGCCGCCATAATCCTCCACTGGCGGGGTGGCTGCCGCGCTCCGGAAGCCCCTCGCTGGGCTGCCGCGACCTGACGACACGCCGGTTGGCCCTTGTCTGAATTCGGGGCTGAGCTTCGACCTAGGATAGCTTGACTCGCCGTTCTCCTTCTCTTCAGACATGGTGCTCGTGAAGCTCATGCGACTGCGACTTGTAGGACGCCCGTAGTCGCGGTAAATGCCTGCATCGTCATGCGTCGGAGACGCAACGCCGGGGCTCGTGACGCTCGCCCGGGAACCAAGACTGTCGGCGTTGTTGAGAGCTCTCTTTAACCTGTCAAGTTCGCGTCGCAGTCGCTCGTTGACTTGCTCGGTCGCTTCGGCATCGCTCCGTGCCCGAACAAGCTGCGTCTCCTTGGCTTTGATGCTGAGCACATCCCGTGTGTGGTCCTCAATCAGACCGGCATTTTGGTTCTTGAGTTCTTGAATCTCCGACATGAATTTGCTCCGCTCGTGTCGCATATCATCCACTTGACGCGTCAGTCTCTCATTCGAGGCACGGAGCTCCTCAAGCTCTGCCCGCTCAAGCGCTGTGAGGCCGCTCGAGGGTGGTGGCGACGACGGGGGCATCTGGATGGGCGCTGCTGAGGGTTTCGACAGTGGCCTTCCAGCCAGTCCTCCGCGGCCGAGGCCAAGCCTGGGTTGCGGTGGTGGTGGTGGTTCGTCGTCTTCGGGCGGCATGATCGGGGCTGCTGCAGGCGCGCGCCGGGGCGAGGCAGCGCTAGGGGCCCCAATGCGCTTCTGAGGTCCCTTGAGGCCGCCCAGGGCGGACGGCTTCGGCATGCCGAGCTTGCTTCCTCCTGGTGTGGGGCGGGACGACGTTTGGGGGGCCAGAGGGGCAGACTCTGCCGCGGTTGCCGCTGGCATGACGGGCTTCTTCACACCGGCCGGCGCCTTCTTGACCATTTTCTTCGGACCAGCAGCCGGGGGTGGCCTTGCAGCTGGGGGAGGCGGCTTCGGCTTATCCTTGGCCTTGACCTCGGCAGTCTCGAAGAACTCCTTGATCTTGGTCTTCCGAATGTCATCGAGGCCCTCGAGAAAGGGGTTCATGGCACGCTCGCCGATAATCTTCATCACCGTTCCCAAAACCTCCGCACCTCCGGAGCGTAGACCTTCGCTAGACTCGGAAAGGAGCTTTTTGCCAGACTCAACGATGGTACCAATCTCTGGCTTGCTAGGAACGTCGCGTGTGGTTCTCAAGCACCGGATGAGAAATTTCATGGTTCCCTCCTTGACCTGAGGGTTCTTGTGCGACAGACAGGCCACAATATCCTCCATACACTCCGTCAGGGAAGTGGCAAGGAAAACCTGGTCCAGAGCGGCGCCGAGCGCATCGGCTATGGCCTGCTTCTTCTCCTTCAGTCTTTCCATGATGGGAAGCATGACGACGGTTCGGTATTTCCCGTAGCTCTTGCGCAGACCCTTGGCGAGAGCCTCGATGCACTGGGCGGCCTGGGTAACGACAGCTACGTTGGCATCCTTCATCGACTTGGCGAGACCCCGGTTGACTTCGTTGAAATCGCCATCCTTGATACGCGGAACGTTGACCGCCGCAAACAGTGCCTCGAGGACTTCTTTCCTCTCTTTCCACTTTGACGAAGCAAGTGCTTCAGTAAAGTTACCCGGTACTTTGCTCAAGACATCTTGTGGTTCAGCCAAGTCAAAAGCGTCAACCTCGGCAGGCTCCTCCTCTTCATCGCCGCCGTAGTCGCCCTCACCCTCCTCGCCCGGTGGCGGTGCTCGTGCCATGATTTCTTGCTGCGTTCGGAGATACCGCTCCTGCTTAGGCGCGGGCTCGGCCTTGATCTTTTCAAACTGTGCCTCCAAATCGGTCTGCTGTGTGGGCTTGAGCTCTCCCCAAAACATGGGCTTCATAGCCTCTCGAAGCCACCTGTAAAATTCGACGGCTAAACTCATCGCAGCTGCTCGAACATTCTTGTCGGCATGGCCGAACGCCTTGGGCAGAGCTTTCAGGACGGGCTTGGGGTCGACCGTCTTGCAACCGAAGTTGTGATATATAGTGACGAGGGCATTCAATGTGGCGGCGACCACCTTCGGCTGCTTGTTTGCGAGAGCCGGGAGCATGTCTTCGATGACTGGCGCGGCGACGTCGACCTCGACGAGGAGTAGCAGAGCCTCAAGTGCCGACTCCTTGGCCGCGGCTCTTGTCGATGGCAGGCCTTTCTCGACGATGGGGCCGATGGTTTGACCGCGTGTCCTCGTGCCTTGCTCCTTGCCGCCAAACTTGAGAAAGGCGCAGTATGCGGCCAGGCCTTCTTGCTGCGCTGCCACGTTCGAATCGGCGACGGCGCCCTTCCAGAGGCTCGCATCCTGGAGAAATGGCCTGAAGGCGGCATCGTACTCGTCAGCGGTGGCAGCGAACTGCTTGGCTCCCTCTTCATATGCGCCCTTGCGTACTTTCCAGACCTGGCATCGGGCACGCGTTAGCTGGGTCCGCGTCGAGAGGGGCATGCCTGCATTCGAGGCAGCGTACCTTGTGCACCCACTGGTCGGTCAGTGGCAGCGAGCTGTAGTCGGGCTCGTCACCCATGGTGGCTGTCTTTGCGACAAGCGCTCGGTGTTTGAAGGGTGTGTCTGGGAGGGCAGGTTGTTTCGATCCTCGTGCGGCGTTGTGATAATGGTGCGGGTCGGCGTCTGAACCTCCTGGACTGGCAAACTTCTTGATTAGCTTCAGCAAGGAACGAGCCGACTTTTGGCGGTCCATCCTGTCACACCGCTGGACCTGGAGAAACCCGAGGCTGCGGACAGAGGCGGGAGGCAGGGGAGCACAGCGACGGCGGCGACCAAAACGCTGAAAACTGGAAACCTACATACCGAATAATCAGAGCATGCAATCAAGGACGACGTCGGGGTCGAGGTCGAGGTCCCTGAGGATTCGGGCAGTAGGTTGGTGGTCACAGCAGGGGTCTTGCAGGGTGCCGAGAAGGGTTGTTGCAGGCGGCAAGGAATGTGTGCTGAGAAGTAGCTGTTTCCTCTGGCGCTGCTGGTATGTGGAATCGTTGACGGGACGAGGGTCAGAAAGTGCGGCTGGCCGTAGTTGTCTCGGTCGTGTGGTGTGTTTGGAGCTCGTGCTCGACTCCCGATACTGGAGTGTTGTTTTTGATGCGTCCTGTGTGGGGGGGAACATGTCGTTGGTCGACGGGCGGCATTCAGTCGGGATTGGGACCCCCCCCAAGCATGCCTGACGCCAACAGCAGTGGTTCCTGCTTGGGTTGTATTCAGGTGTTGCTTGGTGGGTGCGGGACGCCGTTGCCCCAACGATCGCAGCCCGATAAGGGATAAGATGCGCTGCGATAAAGACCCAATGGTTTAGTAACGCCCCGACATTCAATCTGCCATTTCTGTAGCGCGTCTTTTAGCACGAGGGCAAGGTACATGAGCTAATCTCAGTCACTTTCCTTACCTTATGTAGGTACATAGTACCTTAGGTAGTCACGACCAAAATGCCACCCTTGTTCAGTTTCTGACATCGATCCCTCGACAGGCAAAGGAGGGGTCGTCTCAAGAGAGATGTCTAGACCACAGTGATGTCACCTGTCATCTTGCGCTCGGAGTGTGGAGGTGTTCTTCCCAGGGCAGGGGCGAGGAGCACGGCGGGCACTAGCCACTGTAAAGCCCCTGAAGGCCGATGCGTGGGGAACGTGTTTTGGGAGGGCTTGAGCGGTGCTGTACCACGTAAGGTACAGGGCCCGGGACCTGAGCGGAGGCCGGGGAGGGGAAAGGGGGAGGGGAGGGGGAGGGAGGGGGAGGGAGGGGGTCAGTCGCTTGTCGAGCAGCAAGCACACTTTGAGGCTAGTGGTGGGATGTCCCGTGGGCGGGGACGGGGAATGGGTGAGGTGAGGTGTACCTGAGAGACTAATAAGGTGGTAAAGTAGTAACAGTAGCCAGTCTGTTTGTGCGCGTCGCATTGAAACTCGACATTTCTTCCCCGTGCTTGTCGTCTCTGCTCCCATCTGGTTCGGAACTTCGGTAACATCTTCACCACCTGTCGCCTTTCTTCACGCAGTTCCGGTGGGCATCTACACGACTTGCTAGAGGTACATATAGCACGACTTGCTGGAGGTAGTCCACGATTGGAGGCAGATCTGATCCACAACTGATTGAAGTACCTGGCCTTGCTGGACAGTGGACCACCGAACTTCATTTCATCTCTTCCGTCGTCGTCAGACACCCACTCCGACCGCCTTCCCTCCGAAACAGCCTCCGTCAAAGAAGGACCCTTCACGTCGTCTGTCCCTGCCAGCATCACCACGGCACATTGTCACCGGCTCTTTGTACGTCTCGACGTTTTCCTCCTGGCCTACTATCGGACGCCAACCCCACGCCGATCCAGGAGGTCAACACCGCCCCGCGATCGATGCCCAGCTGTGGCAGCTACAAAAGTTCAGAAGCACCACCGCCAAACTACACAGACAGGTTCTGCACCTGAATTTGCACCTTGCCCGACGAGATACCTTAAACCTACCCACCATGAGCCAGATTTTGACCCCTCGGCAAGCAGAAGAGCTGCACGTCTCGCCCCTCCGAGCGGTCACCGCCCAAGGATCCCCTTTCGCTGACCGGTTCCCAGGCACAAGGCCATCATAGCATATTTGTCGTCTAGCGGTCTTCCCAGCACGGCCGCGGCCCTCCGACAAGAGCTCAACATCGGCGACACCTTTGACGATGCGACGTCCAAGAAGTATGAGGGGCTGCTCGAGAAAAAATGGACCAGCGTCGTGCGACTACAGAAAAAGGTGCGTGCCAGGGGGGTCCCTATCGCGACCCCACCATGCCGTCGTGTGCGCTCTCCTGGAGTTGGAGCTCGTCTGACCTGGCCTCGCAGATCATGGAACTCGAGACACGCGTCGCTTCCCTGCAGTCCGAAATCGACAATGCCACACCGACATCGCTCTCACGACGCAACCAAGACCCCTCAGCCTGGCTGCCCCGCGCCCAGGCACGCCACACTCTTCAGTCGCACCGCGAACCCGTCACATGCGTCGCCTTTCACCCCGTCTTCTCTTCTCTCGCCTCTGGCTCTGACGACTACACAATTAAAATCTGGGACTGGGAACTCGGCGAGCTGGAACGGACCATCAAGGGCCACACGAACGCCGTGCTCGATGTCGACTTTGGTGGGCCGCGGGGCGGTACACTGCTTGCCTCATGCTCCAACGACCTGACCATCAAGCTGTGGGACCCCTCGGACGAGTACAAGAATATCCGAACACTGCCCGGCCACGACCACAGCGTCAGCTGCGTCCGCTTCATTCCAAGCGGTGCGGCCGGCGCGCCGAGCTCGGGCAACCTGCTCGTGTCGGCGAGCAGAGACAAGACGTTGAGGATATGGGACGTATCGACAGGGTACTGCCTCAAAACACTGAGGGGCCACGCCGACTGGGTACGTGACGTGTATCCTTCGCCGGACGGCCGCTTCCTCCTGTCGGTGAGCGACGACCGCATGGGTCGCCTCTGGGACATCAGCGCCGCTACGCCCGAGACGAAGCTCACCCTTGTCGGCCACGAACACGTCGTCCTCTGCTGCGCGCTGGCTCCGGCAACCGCATACCCGCACCTCGCGCCGCTCGCGGGGCTGAAAAAGGCGCCCCCAGCCTCGAGCGGGACCGAGTTCATGGCCACCGGCGGCCGCGACAAGACGATCAGGCTCTGGGACGGGCGGGGCAACTGCATCAAGGTCCTCGTAGGCCACGACAACTGGGTGCGCGATCTCGTTTTCCACCCGGGCGGCAAGTACCTCATCAGCGCGTCCGACGACTACACGCTGCGGTGCTGGGACCTGACGCAGGAGGGCAAGTGCGTCAGGACGGTCCAGGGCGTGCACGGCCACTTTGTCTCGTGCCTGCGTTGGGCGCCGAGCATCATCCGGGAGGACGCGTCCGCCAACGGGTCGGGCGAGAACGGAGCCAACGGCACGCCGAGCAAGAGCGCGGCAGCGCCCGCCACGACGGAACAGATCCGGTGCGTCATCGCCACGGGAAGTGTTGACATGAAGGTGCGCGTGTTTGCGAATTAGGCGGCGGCGGCGGAGCCTAGGTCGAACGGTGAAAGGAAATTTCGAACCGGGGACAGAAGACAAACTCAAAAAGGCGTCGTCACGGGAGGCAGAGATGGCGGCCCAAGCATTGAATCTGAACAACAGCACTGGAACGGCTCGCGGGGCTGATGCCATGATGAGAAATGAGATTAGATTTAGGAGCGGTTGTACATGACGGAATAGATACCCGCATAATGCCGCTGTTGCTTCGTGCTCTTCGCTGCCGCTTTTGTATGTCGAGCCAAAAGCTCGTTCTTCAGAGTATCTGGAATCCGAGTCTACTGGTTGGCCCACACACATGTGGCCACAAACGAGAACATGAGGAGCGGTATTCTCACAAAGGGAATGCATTGATGAACTATGATGTATGCCAAGCTGGCCCGAGGGGAATCTTCCAAACACATGCTACCGGGGTATATCAATCTGTCCGTCCTCCGCTGTCTCCCCAATCACACCAACTTCCGCCTGGGAAAACGGCTTCACTTCAAGCATGCCGCCTGTGTCCTCCGCACCTGGCCGGTACTCGACGCTCTCGATACGTCTTGCACGTGGTCTCTCCTCGCAGCCTGCCGCTGCTCGTGGTCGTTGTCGGCTGAACCAGAGCATGTAGGCTCCTAGCCGCTGAGGTGAACCTCGGTCCTGCCACTGCGGTGATACGTGGCAAGGGGAATGCCGCACTAGATGTCCCAAGTTAGTTTGACAATTCTCTCTCAATCTGCATTAGAAGACGGAAAGGGCGAGACGATGACATACCTTGGCGCACTTATGTGTCGCATCCTTCAGGCTCGTGAAGAAGTACGGGATACAGCCCAGGCACGTCACAAAACAGACCAAGGCACCGAGGGCGTGGGTGAAGCCGCCGGATGAGTACTCGACGGCCGTGATGCCGCTGTGGTGGCAGTTGGGACAGTTGATGGGCGCCGGGTGGGGGCCTAGCGAGGGGATGGGTGTGCCCTGGGGGCCGTGAGGGTGGCCGCCAAAGCCAGGACCCGGGCCAGGGCCGTTCATGTTGTTCATGGGAAAGCTGTTCTGAAGGGGAACGCCGCTGTGAGGAGGAACGGCTCCCTGGTTGTGAATGCCGTGGCGGTCATTGATGTAGTCGGGTGGCGGTGGAACAGTCGAGTCAACGGGTACGGGCTTTGGCTCGTAGGACATGTTGGCGGCAGGGTGGGCCTTGTCGAGAGGCTGCTGTGCTTGTTCGTCCTTCTTCTTAGAGAAGAATGGCATGCTGGAGAGGAAGTGTGAGACACCTTAGGTTAGGAGGTAGGTGGGCAAGAAATGTTGACAAGGGATGTAATGGTGGTGGATGAGGAGAGCTGACGATGAAAAGGCAAGCAGTCAACTAGAGAACAAGAATTGGGGTAGTCTATTGTATTAAAACAACCCACTGAATCAAAGCAGGGACCAAGGGCCAAGGTTAATTTAGGGAAGCCGTGTTGCCTCCCAAACCGCGAATTGCCAAGGAAGGCCTCCCACGTCCCTGCCTTGCTGCCCTAGTAGCCAGTTGCCAGTCCGCCTCTTGCCTCTGCTTCTGGGGAAACTACAGGGACTCCGAGACCGATCCCACCGATGTCTGAGTACCCATGTCTGGACTGCCCAGGTGGGCGAGGGAGGCAGTGCCCCATGATTCTGGGGCACTTAAAGGTTTATTGGTGTCTAGGTGCCGGGCGAGGGATTGAGGATCGTAATCCTTCGGCATCTTACTCTCTTGGCTTTTGCTGTTTCTTTATTCGTCTGCCGGGGCTCACATCAGACCCAGATCACAGCGCTCCTGCCGACGCTCTGTAATATTGAGTGACGAGAAAATAATATAAGGCCATTTGACTCTTCGCTCCAACTCTGCCTTGAGTTGCCTCTCATGAGCCGATCGACGCGATCCCAGACATGGTTGGCGGAATGAAAAAGGAGGCCTTCCAAGCGCCGAGACGGATGAAGTCATCCAAGGGTCCTGGACACGCGGCAGGGGCCACCTACAAGGTGACGTCGCTCGGAAACTTGTCATTGGTCGGCCATCTCTGGGGCTGTGGCGGTGCCAAGAAGGCGCCACGTTACCCTAGTCGACGTTGCCACGCCGCTGTGCTTCAGGCAAACCAACTGCACTGCAATCCGACACAATACATGATGGCCGTGAATGTATTCTGTGAACGTCGGTGTCTGTGTTCCTCAAGGCTGCCATGTTAGGCCTTCCATCATGATCCTATACGAAACGCTGACTGGGGTGAGACGTTTCTCAGAATCTTACCACCCGCACTCGCTACGATGCCTCATCACATGCCATCCTGATAACCCAATCGTGACATCCGTGACATCCTCATTCGTAGCTTAGTGTACACGAAATCACGGCATTACGGACATACATTATGGTACACGGCTGACCACGCAACAAGCCCCTTCCAGATTTGTTTCGAACCGCACAACCCATCGCATCACGCGTCACTCCCATCACACGCTCGTTGGCTTCTGCACCACAACCTCCTCCTCATCCGGATCCTCGATGCTCGTCCGTCGCTTGGCCTCTACTGCCTCCTGCACCCTGTTCTCCCGCGCCGTCATTGGTCCGACATCTTCTCCGCTGCCCTCTTCCTTCTCCCTCTTGTCATCATGCAGCTCTGCGCCGGCCGTCTCATCCTTCTCGTCCTTGGTCCCGAATGGCCACAGCCCGTTGAAAGCAGTCTTGCCCTGACCCTGGCTGCCTCCAGGATGTACGGCCAACGGCTTGAGCAGTACCTTCTCGTTGGGATCCGTGCCGGGCGCTGACTCGACCTCGGGCATGGCAAAGTCGCCAAACTCCTCGTCATCGTCGTCGCCTTCACGCTCCGAGTCTGAATCCTCCGCCGTTTCGAATCGCTCGTTCTGCTTCCTCCGCACCATGCCACGCCACCAGGAACCGCGCGCCGAGGCACCCCACGTGTTCGTCACCGCGTTGGCTGTCCGGCCACCCGAGCGCCCATCATCCTCGTCGTCGCTGTCGACATCGTCGTCCTCGTCATCGGCAAACGGATTACGGTTCCGATCAGGTTCATCTCTCGACCCGGGCCGGGGACCCTCCCCATCCTCGCCGTCGTCTCCGTGCCCGTCGCCACCACCGCTGTTTTTCTGGTGCATGGCGAGCCGCGCCGCCAGCTGCAGACGAGCCCGCGAGGGCGGAATGTTCAGAGGAGGCGGCGGAGGCGGCGGCGGCGGAATCGAAGGAGGGTTCATCGACGTCGATGACGATTGGTTGTTCAGCGGGTCGGTGTAGGCTCGAAACTAACGCGGCTGTGTCAGTATAAAGAACAGCTCAGATGATGTGTCTGAAGACTGAAAGGAAAACCCATCCACAGGGCGATTCATTGTCGTGGAGCCCACAAAACCCGTACACCCTACTCGTACAACAACATAGCCCCAGCCATCCATTTCATTAACCCACTAGCATTACAGGTCCCTGTCCTTGAAAAATGTCCAGGACACCCGTCAACATCCCCAATGCCCGCAACGCCCCCTGCATGTTGTCCCTCGTCTCTCTCGTTTCGTACTCAAACAGTGCATCGCTCATGTCGTCACATGCCGTGGCTTCACGGTTGCCATGTTTCAAATAGGCCCCATACTCATCCAGAAGCTGCCTATGGTCGAGCATGGTTTCCTGCACTTTCGCCATGTGTGACTCAACGTCGGGATGTTCCGTAATCCATGGGTCCCAATCAGGAGGACCAGCACGGCATGCGTACTACGCTTGACCTTTGGCAGCCTCGTCCTCCGCGTCCAACCCGTCGGACAGGGGATAGCGGGGCGGTTCTGCCGCCGTGTGATGTGAACTCCAGAAGTCGGAACTCACCTCGTTAGCAACGTCTTCATCGTTATCATCTGCGTCGTCATCGTCTTCGTCACTGGAGCTCCCGAAGCCTGACATCAAAGTGCCGGCGCTGATAGCGAATGGGCCAATGCCGTTGTTATCCTGCTGTTCGAGGCCACCGTTGAGGCCAGCTTCGGCCAGGGCATTGGAGCCACTGTTGCTCTGTGAGTTGCTGTTGAAAGACGAACCCAGCCCGGACAGACCAGCCGAGGCAAGCCCGTTGCCGGACACACCGGCACGGTTGCCTAGCGCGACTTCGGGCCGCACGCCTCCCAGAATTGCGTTGTCTCGTTCCCTTGTCTCGGCAAGGGCGCCCTCGACATAACTGATCCAATTCTGATCCATGACACGGTCAAGAACAGTTTCAGACAGCAGCTCGGGCGGATGGCGTTCCGTAAACTTGACCACTTCCTCGGCGATCAGAGTTAGATGGCCCATGTAGCCCATGCGTGTCTTCATCCTGGCTTGTGACTCGTCGCTGGCCAGCTGGCCGTTGATGATGGCAGTAGTAATGTCGGCGGCCTCAAACAGCGAGATGGCCAGGGTTGGGTTGTAGCCCCGGTCCATGGGACCATTGAAAACCTGTTGCACAATATCATAGACAACGTTGTGCAAGAAATTGTTCCAGGGATAGCCAAAGAAGAAGGACTGCGTCTCGTCAGCTATGGGCCGCTGCCGGGGGTCTGGAGCAGAACTTGGTTGAGGCTGACTTACGAGAATGCTGGGGACCACACGATACTCTACGAACTGCCTTTTGAGATAATCGCCAACAACACGGCTCGAGTCTTCCTGTTCCGGTCTCTGGGGGATAGCTGGAGGTTCCGTAGGCGGTGAAAGCGCTCTCGGGATCGCTTCACCAGTCGTATCCCTCTCGCCGGTCGTCACGTCTTCAACCGCAGAACTGGCAGGCGTAGCGGCATCGAAAACCTTTGATGACTCGGTTGCAGGCGGCGGCGGGAGTGGTTTGTCCGTGTCGAGCTTATCGACGGTGGTCAACTCCTCCTTGTCGATCACAGATTTGGCAAACAAAGGAGCGGGAACATCCGCTGCGTTGCTGACGTGGAGGGGCACGGTTGCTGCCTCAAGGGGTGCAGGTTCCTTATCCGAGGGCAGCTGTTCTGGCTCGGATACAGTGGGAGTGTAGGTGACGGACGAGTCAGTTTCGTCACCCTTGGCACTCTGGTCGTCAGAAGAGGCGCTTGAGTTCTTATCCAAGTCAAGCTGTCGTACTTGTATAGTGGTCTGGTCAAGCATTTCGTCCGCTGCATCGCCAGAGGTATTTTCGTCAGGTCGATTGGCAGCTACCTGCGCAGCTTCCTCAGCCTTCTTATCATGCTCCCCAGACTTCAATTTGGGGTCTGGTTCTACCGAAACTGCTGGCGAAGTCTCAGCTGGCGGTGCTGCTGCCTTCGCTTTGGTTGGTGACAGTGGGGCGACGATGAGGTCGGGGTCCTCAAAGAGAGGTTCTGTGGCCTTGATGTCCGCGACAGGTGGTTTTGGCGAGCTAAGAGGTTCATCAACGAAATCGTCGCCGTCCTTTGCCAGGAAGCTGGATGCGGCGGGCGCCACGGAAATCTCTTCTTCGGCTTTGACAAACTCGTGCGACGTGTCTTCATTCATCTCGCGGCTGGGTTCGACTTCCTCAAAACCGTCGTCATCCGAGATGTTGGTCACCTCGAGACGTCGTCCTTCTTCGGGCGAAGACTGGCTGACGCGCAATGTCATATCCTCCATGGTTGACGGGGCTTCCTCGCCCCTATTAGGAGACAGTTTGCCTTCAGTTCTCAGTCGCTGGCGCTCGGCATCTCTGGTCGCAATGACGTCCTCGGAGCCGACGTCGTTCAGGAGACCCATATTGCTGCAGTGAAGCAGCTCGGCCATGAGCTCGCATGTCTTGAATCTGTCGAATCCTAACGGCTCGATCTTTTCGCCGAAGGTGGAGTTGATCTTTTGCTTGTGCGAAGGTGCGTGCATGATCAGGTTGACGAAATCAGGCACATGCTGGGCGAACAGGCGGAGTAGCGTGCCAAGGTAGATCGGATCCCGACTCGACGGGACAGAGTGCGTCTCAGCGCCGACGTCCGGATCATAATCAGAGTTGTTCTTCCGAATCACCTCGATGACGATACCTACACCCACTGTGAGAGGGTTGCCTCCGCTCAGCATATACTTGATGAGCTGCTCCACACACTGGTGAGAGACGAGTTGCCTGGTCAGTTCATTGGGGCCAATGCACTGCTGGTCATTCTGGGAGGCGTTTGCCGAAATGGTGATGATGGCCTTGATGAAGTCACCAGCCGCAGTTTGGACAACCCAGTTATGTTCGGGCCCCAGACATGACAGCAAAGTAGGAATCACGTCCTGGGAGTACAGCCACTGTTGACAATATTAGCGAAAGAGCATGTGAAGGAAAATGCGCACAATTTACCTCGACGATCCCATATCCGCCTTCGGTACGGTCGAGAGCGATGATCTTGAGCAGGAGGTCCATAATCATGGGACATTCGACATGACGAAGTAGATCGGCTGTCGCGTCCGGGAGTGACTTGAGCAAGGCAATCATTTCCTCCGTCTTCTTATCAAATAAGGCCTCATTGACCTTGGTGAAGTAGCTGGCCTGAAGGGGGTCCAAGGGTGTCGGGCGCTTCAGAAAGGTCCAGAAGTGTCGCACCAGTGGTTGGTTCTCCATCATGGCCTCGTGGATGGACCAAGCGTCAGAAGAGAGGACCTCGGCAGCCACGTAGGCGTACCGGTTGCGCTTCTTCTCCGACTCCTCCTCTGCATCGCTTTCGGAAGCCTTGGATGAGGCTCGTGGGCGCGAAAAGGGGCGCAGGAGACCCTTGCCTTTGTTGTCTTCATCTTCCGTGTCGTCGTTCTTAGGCGGCGCAACAACTTCGAGCTTTGGCGCTACAACGTAGGCCAGGAGCTTCTGGAGGACTTCGTCTTGGCGGAGGTAATCTATCAGTTTCGCATTATGCTGCTTGAGCTCCTGAATGAGGTCGCTCTCATCGAGTAGATCCTCAACCGTGAATTCGGGCTTCTCTAGGATGGTATCGATTGTGGAAATGTTGGCGTAACCGCCAAATCGCCAGAACATGGTGACGGTTGCGGCAGGCCTCGTTGGTCACAGCTCCGGCGAGACCGTTCCGGGGCTGTCTAGACGGGGTATATCGTTGTCGGGAATGATTCGACTGTTGGCGCGGGGACACGTGCGACTCAGCGAGGTCTTGACGAGCGACAGCAGCTGCGTGCAGGGTCGTCGATAACTTGTGTCTATACGTTCGCCCTCAATGATGAAAATGCCGGGTTGGGTATCGATCTGCCGCTGTAGATGTAATCAGAACTGCGGCCATGTGTTAGCAAGAGGTGAGCACTGCGGGGTGCGGCATTAGGACTCCTGCGTCGAGTGTAAAATAGCCAGTGACTCCGCAGCCTTGCAGATTGAGGCAGCAGTGCCGCAAAGTAAAGCAATCGACATAGTCCGCAGTAGAGACAGGTCCATGGGCGAGATGGATGGGGTTCACTGCACATACAAATGAAGATATTGTACAGAAGTATGTCCTCTGAAGCAATGTTTGTCGCACCAAATCGACGTTCGCGGGGTGGTGCGCCGTTCTGATTGGGGATTCCGGTCCTCGGTCGCCGTAACTTGGTCAATCCGAGGTCTCGGGGAGGCCTTGGGCCTTTGTTGTCGTTGCGTTCGAGCAGAGAATGCTTGCGCGAAAAGGCGTCGGGCAGTCAAGCAGCCGGACGATTGTCCGTCGTGTTTTGCAGACTCCAGGTCGGCGGAGATGAGTCAAAAGACGTCGCTGGGTCAAGGAGGGTTGGGATCGCTCGCTGTGGGATGCAGAAGGTGTAGCGTAGTGGTAACCAGATTGGGCCCCCAGAAAACAACCATTTCGTCAAGGGGGGGGGGGGGGGGGGCCTTTGGCACTGGTCGCACAGTCCGATGACTGAGACGGGCTCAATGTGGGTGTGATGAGGGTGGTGCCTTGACCTGGGTTTGACGGTGCTCCGAGTCGAGATCACGGTGGTGAGGAGGCACTGGCAAGTTGTTTCTGGTTGGGCTGAAGTGCAGTGCCAGCGTGGGATGAAGGTCGCTAGCGCTGGGCTTACCTAATGGAGGTGATGTATTTGTGTGTGAGGAGACGATTGGGGTGTCTGTGGCGCCTCTGAACCTCGAGGATGAAGGGTGAGGGGAGAGGTCGATGTGGAGCGACCAAGTGGGTGAGAGAGCAAGGCAACTGAACCGACTCGGGTGGGTGAAGGAGAAACAACCAAGGCATGTGCGATCGATCATGTTCCGCAAAAGAGAAACAGACTTGTTTCTTGCGACGGCCAGAATTGGGAACTGCTGCTCGGCAATCTCCTCCCTTTCGCTGCCTTCGCCGTACCAAAGGCAAGGTTCGTACCTGGCCTTCTGATACCTTCCCGCGTGCGTTGCCAGGGATCATGAGTCGGAACCTTCGCCGAGGTATCTCGACACCAGATTCATACGCGGAGGTACTTACGAGCATGTCACTGACCCAAATCAATAGGGGGCACCTGCTGCCTGCCTCCCCGCCCACGCGTCAGCACATGCCACGCTTGCACACGACAATTGCATGTCGAGGATGACGGCATGGTATGCGTATCTCCCTTCCTAATTCTAGGTAGCCTTGCATATGTCCAAGCATTAACATTATCACCGATACTAAATGAACATCAAAGGCTAGGAATGCCTCCCCGTTCAAGGACCCCCCCTTTCCACCCTCCCCCCCCCCAAGCAGCTTGACCTACGTACCTCACAAGTAAAGCCCCTTGATCAGGTACCTGAGGTACCTAGCTCGCTCATCCGCGGGGGGCTGCGGCGACCTTGACGATTGTGTCACGTGAAGATAAGAACGCCGATAAGCTCATCGACCCATCCGCCTCTCTACCTCGTACCTGGTTGGCATTACATAGTAAAAAGAAAGTCACGTCACGTCCTGCCTCGAAGGGGTTCTCACCAACACCACCTGGTCTTCGCGCCTCTCCTCGCACAGCACACATCTGGTGGTGCCCAGGATTCCGCGACCATGTCTGCATTTCCTACGTTCGATCCCTCTCGCCTCACGAAGAAGTCTGCCGCCGCGCAATACTCGTCTGATTCTGAAGAAGACAATGACGACGAGTTCACCACTCCGATTGTCGATCCCGCCGCTGAAGATGACTTCCACAACTCGAATCCACGGAAGCGCCGTCGCGTCGGCGAGTCCAAGGACCGCGCAGCTTTGGGTATCTTTGCCTCTGACAGCGAGGATGACGGCCCAGGCAAGCGCTGGAAGAAGAAGACGCTTCGCGGAAAAGGCATGAGTTTCGTATCTACAGGGACAATGGCCAACGCCCAAGACGAAAAAGAATACTCGGACGACAGCGACCGAAACGGACCACCAGCAGCCGAGGAGGATGACGAGGAAGACGACGAGGAAGAGGAAGAGGCCGCTGGGGTTGGCCTGGGACTTCGGTCAGCAACGTCTGGCGGGCTCGGCTTCGCACCGGCGACTAAAGACGAAGATACAGAGATGCAAGGCCAAGATGAAGCCCCATACAAGCCTTCCTTCGTGAAAACAAAGTTTGACGGACGCAACCCACTGGGCCGTGGCTTCGTACCATCGTCAGCGCGACAACCTGTGTTAACGAACTTCGAAGATGATGAGAAGCCGACGAAACCGACCATTGCACGGCCAAGCGCTTTTGCGCCGTCTCGAGACGGCAAGGGCAGCACAAGCAAGCCGAACCCCAAATCTTTCGGAGCGCGCATGATGGCCAAGATGGGCTACGTCGAGGGTACCGGTCTTGGTAAAGAGAGCCAGGGACGAAACGTCATTATTGAAGCCAACCTTCGACCTCAAGGTGTCGGTCTTGGTGCGGTCAAGGAAAAATCCGTGTCTGAACGGCGTGAAGAGAAGCGGCAGGCCGAGCTGCGCGGCGAGGTCGTCGTCGACTCGGACGAAGAAGAGAAGAAGAAGAAGCGCGAGAGGAAGAAGAGGCTGGGCGCCAGTGGTATCAGCAGTGGTACCAGTACTCCTCGACGACAGAAGACGGCATTCATGACGGCAGAGGAGATCAAGAGGGCGGCGCCTGGTCTACACATTCCTGATGCTTTTGCGCCCATTCTCGACATGACAGGTCCAGGCAATAAACTGCTGACATCGACATCGGGATTGTTAACACCCACATCTGCTGCCGCGCCTGAGTCGGCTGAAGCGATAGAAGCACGCAAGATAGTCAGGCGAGCGCATGCCGACTTGGCGGCTTTCTCGGAGGAGTGGCGGAGTCTCGAGGAGCGGAAGAGCTGGGTCGAGCTAGAGCTGCGACAGCACGAACAGGAGACGGCAGACTTGGCCGCTGACCTGGAAAGAATGGGTGTGTTTGCCGGCATCGTCACTAACGAGCTGCCGGCGGCCACCGAGTGGCAAGACAAGATCCGATGTCTTCAAAAGGCCATTGATGCCGTTGGCCCTCCCAGTGGCGAGGTCACGGATATCGCCGTCGCGGCGATCCACCCATTCTTCCGCGACCCAGACTGGATTCTGCTAGAAGAGCCGAAACGCTTTGCTACCGAACTCAACGATATGCGTGGCCTTCTGACCAAGTCTGCAACCAACGAGAAGAGCATTGATAAGATGAACACCACGGCGAACGGGCTCAACGACACGGACCTTTATCGCCAACATCACAAGGCGACAACACCCTACGAGACTATGATGTACAAGCTTTGGTACCCCAAGGCCAGGGGGGGCATCCGAGACTGGGACGTGTACGACCCTGTGCCCCTCCTAGCGGTGCTAGAGGCATGGAACTCTCTACTGCCAGCTTTCGTGCGCGCTCAGTTCCTTCAGGACGTGGTGCGGAAGCTGGAGACAGCCGTCAGCGAATGGAACCCGCGCAAGAAGCGCCAGAGCTACAAGCTCCCTCATCTGTGGCTTTTCCCCTGGCTGCAGTACCTTCCGTCCTACCATCTGGATCCAAAGGGCACCGGCCTTGTGGCCGATGTGCGGCGCAAATTCAGGCAACTTGTTGACGTGTGGGAATTTGACAGGGGCGTCGTGCCTGGTCTCACGCAGTGGCGCGACGTTCTGGGAAGTCAGTGGCAGCCGCTCATCATGTCACATGTTTTGCCGAGCATGGGGCGCTACCTGCGGGAGAATTTCCGCGTCGATCCTGGAGACCAAGAGCCTTACCTCCCCATGCTCATGGGGACGCTCAGGTGGTCCAGCGTGCTGGGATCCAAGGTCCTGGCTGAAGTCATCGTGGCCGAGGTGTTCCCGCTCTGGCACGACAAGCTTGGCGAGTGGCTTCAGCTGGAGGAGGTCAATCTTGAGGAAGTGTACGCATGGTATGAGTGGTGGAGGGACCAACTCTTCCCCAAAGAATTGGCCACGCTGCCTGTGATTACAAAGGAGTTTGACAAGGGATCACTAACAATTGAGAGGGCGCTTGAGAGGATGTAGTAAACAGAGGAGAGCGCCAGGAGACAGGCGCCTCAGAGTGCAATAGATACCCAGAAACCATGAGTCTTCCAATCATGAGCATTTACCCAAGGCGAAACATGTACAAGCAAGTACAGCTGAAAATGCAGAAGCGCCCAACGACCAGGAACAACGCAGAGTGATGGGAATCAAACGGCGCATGAATCAGATAAGATCAGGGCGTCCGGGGCAGTTCCGAGCAGTGGAGTCGTCTAGGCGCCTCCAGCTCTCCGTGTGAAGGACTACATCCACGCCAGAGAAGGCGCCGGTGTAGTCAACATTGGGTTTTAGAGCCTTGTGGCTTCCCCCTCGTGTGTTTTGGGGTGACACCCCGGCCGGGGAGATATCCAGACTGAGGTTATGCCGACGCGACCGGCGGTTGGCGTCGAGACCAGACGGAACAGGGATCAAGGTCTGCAGGATGAAACGATAATAGCAACGACGCCACGTCGGGCGACTTTCTGAGGTCCATTCTCCTCCTCTGGCGCAATGGAGTGGCTTGCGTTCAGGATATCAACCCGGGTTGTGGGGTCTGCAGGAGTCACATCCTGAAGCTCCAGTCTGAGAGCTGGCGGACAAACTTCCGATTGTGGTTCGACAGAACTGTGGCGAAAGCCTGTGACACGCTACATGCTAGGACTGCTGCTATCATGGATCTCTGCATCAGCTTAGTCCTGGCAGATAGCGATACGCTTTCTAGGCAATCTAAAGGGTATCAATAGAGGTTCTTTAGAAATAGTTAAATCTAGTAATCCAAACTATATAGAGTTCTCTAAACGTAATGCCCTTCTGCTACTTGACCAGACACTGGTAGAGAAAAAGAGGAAGAAGGAAAGCAAAAGAGGCAGCACGGAAATGCACCCATTGCGCCTTTGTCGCAGATTTGAACCGGGGAACGGCGATCAGACCCGATGGACCCAGGGCTGGCTGGCTGGGCGCTTCTACTACTGTCCCAACCCTGCCTTCTTGTCGCCTGCAGTTGCATTCTACGGGCATTAACCAGACGATCGGTGGGATCTTCGCAACTCCCCCACCCAGCCGCGAGCGGAACGTGTCTGTGATGGCGGCTCCCGAGCTGCCTGTTGTACCATTCGGAGTGTTCATTCGTATGCATCGAGCTGAGCTGGACGGGTGATCGAGATCTTGATTGACCGTTGTTTGAGCATGATGATGCCCAAGTTTCCAAACATGGCCTAAAAGTATCCATGACGATCGCAGTATATCGTTTGCACGCATTTGCACGCATGACAGAATGATGCTTCTTTTACATTTCAAATTTAAGCTCATCATCTCCAACCCAGCAGCGGCTCCTGTCATTAATAAGTGCCATCTGATTTCCCTGTTGACTTGACCAGACGGTTCCACGTCCACACACGAGCCTGCCTCTGCAACAGCACGCGGCGCTTGGCATCGTCTCATCACGGTCCCAAACATGGGGTTTCGACCAGGGTGTCGGCACTTGAGCCCACATGCGCAGGACCAACAACCAGCAGTAACACCCAGCATCGTCTCAGTCCAGCGCATGGCCAGCTTTGCAGGCTGCCACAGGAGCAGGCCCTTGTCTCTTGCGTCCCTGTGGCCGATGCGTACGGGCCTGAATCAGAACTTGGCTGAGCGGCCTTGGATGGTACGGCCAGACTCTGGAATCTCCCCACTACCCTGGTTCACTGCCTGGGCACCTACATATCATCGGCCATGCGCCTGGCCTGGTTACCACATGGCTTTATTTCTGAAGTCTCGAGTCTTCCAGGGCTACGGCGACATCGATCTGCCAACCTCTCCCACCACATTCCTTTCGTGCGTACGCCTTGAAGGCTTCGTTCATTAGCCCAGGCGGTTTTTTCTTCTCCTTTTGTCCAGTTTGATTTCCTTCGAGACGAATTCCAGGCGGGTTCCTGGTTGGAAGAATTATTGTAATCATGTCAGAAAGGTCGTGTCCCGTGTCCGGCTCCCTCGGTGGAAGATGTCCGGCTGGAAATGGTTCCGTTGCTGGGAGTATCTCCAGACAGCGCGTCGGTCCACGAGGCTGTTCCTTTTCGGGCTACACGCAACCGGGCGATCTTCACTCTGCCTTTGACGTAAGTTTTGCTTGTAACAAGGGTCAAGAGAAGCTCCCGGTCACCTGCTGACTCGACAACCTCAGATCCCCCGCGGTGTCGACGTAGATGAGTGGCTACGTGACCGCGAACGTAAGGCCATCAACGAGATTCTTTACTCAGACATTCCCTCGGCCAACTTTGTCGCCCAGGTCAAAAATGTCGACACGCTTGTCGCCGATGACAAGGACCTGCTTGCCGTCGCTCTCGGCGCTCCCGCTCGCCAGGTCATCCTTCGCGCCGAGAGCATCGGCCAGCGCACAGGGTGGAAGGACGGTTATCTCAGCGGCGAGTATGGCTTTTGCGCCCTGGACTCGAACGAAGCCGCCGGGGCTCTCGCTGGATGCCCCGGCCGCGTGTGGTCCGATCTTTGCGAACGCATGCCCGGCTGCGTGTCCCGAGGCCGTGTGCGCGAGTCCGTCGCCGCTCTACCCCTCGTCGAAGGCACTGAAGATACTATTCCCGACCAGGCTCTGTGGGCTGCGATTGTCGCTCTGGGCATGCTGTGCTCGATCTACCGCTACGAGGACAAGAATGACGGGTACGACGGCGTCAGCACCAACACGACATCGACCAAGCCCAACGTCGAAATGAGCGACGATCTCGGCCCAGAGCTCATTGGCATCCCCCGCAGCATCGGCCTTCCCTACTGGCAGGTCTCCCGCCGCATGGGCCGCGCCATCCCGCACCTGACCTTCTTCGACCAGGCCTCTTACAACATTCGCGTCCGCGACCCGACCTCGATCCACCCCTACGTTGGACGCTTCGACAACACCGACCTGCGATGGCCCATGTTTGGCGAGCGCACCGAGATAGCCTTCCTCAAAGGCTGCGCCGACACATCAGCCTCGTTCCAGCACGGGCCCGACGCCATCGCCGCGTGCCAGGAGCATGTCATGAACCGCAATATTGAGGGTTTGCTGCGCGAGATGGTCCGCCTCAAAGAGATCCTCGAGCGCATGCCCAACGCCTTCCATTCCATCTCGACCAACCCCAACTCGGGCGACAACTTTGTCTCAGCCATGGAGTGGGTGCGCTGGGGCAAGTTCTCAGCGCCCTTGTCAAAGAGATGCCCTGCTGCCTCGGGGCTTCAGTTCCCGCCCTACCTGCTCATGGACGCTTTCCTCGGAAGGAAGAGATACGACTCGTTCCTCGGCAACGAGGGCCTTCACCTGCGTGCGTGGCTGCCCTCCAATCTGCGGGCTTTCATAGCTGCCGTCGAGTACCACTACCGTATTCCCGAGTTTGTCAGGCAGTCGGGCGATCCCCGTCTCATGGGGGTACTGGACGGCATTATCGAGGCTTACACGGGCGAGCGTGGCTTCATGGGCACGCATCGGTACAAGGTTTTCGGCATCCTCGAGGTCGCCTCCAAGACGGGCCGCACGGAGACCAACGGAGCTTCTGGTGCCGCCGATGGCACAGGCCGGCCGTGGGAAGAGGTCCATCGTCAGTTCTCGGACGCCATGAAAGAGCGCCTCGAGCCGTTCCGTGGCAACATCCCGGTCGAGCCGCACCAAATGCGTGGTACCTTTGAGGAGTGCCGCTACACGTCGCGTGTGCTCCGCCGTTCCTTCGTCGACTCAGACTCCGAGCGGTCCATAGCCTGTGTGACGCTCGATCTCCACAACACTGGCATTACCTTCCAGCCCGGTGATCGCTTGGCTGTCATGCCACTGAACAGCTGGGAGGAGTGCGCCAAGGTAGCTGCCGCCCTTGGCCTTGACGACATGTTGGATGCGCCGGTACAGCTTGACAGCCGGTGGTCCCGATTCGCAGACCACTTGGACACAGTCGCCAACCACGGGGTCGCCCGCCTCCCAGGTAGCGCCAAGCTGACGGTCAAGGATGTGCTTCGTAGAGGACATCTGGCGCCTTTGACCCAGGAACTCGTCCTCAAGATTCATTCCTTGCTGCGCGCCTCCTCCAACACAGTTCTCCAGGTCCTTGCCACGGATGAGTGGCCCGTCCGCGGCACTCTGGGTGATCTTCTCCAGGCTGCCGTGCTTGACACGCCCATGCACGTCTGGGACCAGGCGTTTGAATTATCGAGGGACGTTGCCTGGTTGACCGACCTTATCCCCGTCGAGGTCCCACGGACCTATTCCATCTCCAACTGTCCCGACGAACTGCTGCCCAGCACTGTCGACTTGACAATCTCACGCGCCGAGTACAAGCTCTGCTCGACCTTTGCTGGCAATGCTTCTGTTCCCAGGTCTGGCGTCAGCAGTGGTTTCCTGAACCCAACTGTCGGCTCGGCTGGCGACTTCATCACGGCAGAAGACGACATTCTCGTGGGCGTCTCTCGTCCCGTCGCCTTTCAGCTGCCCCTCGACGAGGCAGCACCCTGCGCCTTCTTTGCGGGTGGCAGCGGCATTGCACCCTTCAGGAGCTTCTGGCAGTCCCGCGCCGGGCGAGCCGTCGGGCGCAACATTCTTTACCTGGGCGTACAGAACCGTGAAAAGTTCTGCTACGAGGACGAGCTGCGGCGGTATGTCCATGCCGGCTTCATGGAGGTCCACCTGGCCTTCTCTCGCGACAGCCGGGGCCTTGCCTATGACAGCGTCTCGCGTGACCTAATTGAGCGACGCATGGAGCCACGGTACATTGACGCGCTCATCGCTGAACAGGGTGCTACCGTGTGTGATCTTGCCATGTCCAAGAAGCAAGGCGGACTCGGCGGGCATTTGTACATCTGCGGATCCGTTGCTGTCTTTGATTCCGTCATGAACGGCCTGCGCAAAGCCATCTACAACCACCGCACAGCCACGATGGAGTCAACTGACCTCATTATCAACACGGCCTTCGCCGAGCGGCGCATCATGCTCGATGTCTTCATGACGCCCAAGCCCTTGCCCTGCAACAAGCCTACAATTCCCCTGTCACAGCTTGCACTCCACACGGGCCATCGCCCCGGAAGCCGAATCTGGATCGGCGTGCACGGCAGCGCTTACGACGTGACCGACTTTTGCCCGATGCACCCGGGCGGTACGTTGATCCTCAAGTCCAACGCTGGCGTTGACTGCTCCAAGTCGTTCGACAACCTCGCGCACACCAACAACCCCGAGGTCGCAAGCCTGTTGACCAAGTACTTTGTTGGTCACCTCACGCCGAAGCCCGAGTTTCACGATGGCGGCGAGCTCGGTGGACTGTACGACCTGTGGGCTGACTACCTCAAGACGACGGTTGAGACGCTTGTGGCACAGCAGTTTGAAATGGAGGACCTCATGGGCTCGTCCTTGTGGTTCCAGGAGAACATGATTAACATCATGGGGGTGCGCATCTTCTACCAATATCAGTCCCGCCTGTTACAGTCGGGCTTCTCGGCACTTTTCGGCCCCAAGTTTCAGGAGCTCGTGCTCAAATTGTCATTCGCCATGGCCAACGCAGCGTCATCGGCGGGGTCCGACACAAAGCTACCAGACATTCTGGGTGTGGTCGCACGTGCCAAGACGTCAGCGGATGCCGTGGCAACGTCCAAAGAGGTGGCCCTCGTCGGGCAGTACGTGTGCAACAGCGAACCGGCGCGTTTCCAGGAGCGAGGCATCATGGATTACGCCAGCCGGTCCGTGAGCCTTGATATGGCGCTGCTCGAAGACATCAGGGAGGAAGCATGCCATGGTATGGACGCCTTCGGAACCGTCATGGAGCTCGAAGCGACATCGGACGCGCAGCGTGTGGCGGCCATGTGTTCGTTTCTCATGCAGGTGCTGGAGCGCATGGCGAAGCGGCTCGAAGTGTTCTATGCGCAGCTGGCGCAGTGCTCCATCTACAGGCCCGAGCTTGAGCGCAACCCAGCACGGACGCGCTGGGAGCTCGTCAGGCGGCGCATTCGAGACGGATCACTGTTTGTGCTGGCGCGGCGAGCCGTCATGGAGGTACAGCCGACATATCGGCCGGCGAGGGGCGACGCGGTTGACTTTGACACCGTGCTCTCGCGGGTCCAGCAGACGGTGCGCAGCGCGGCCCTGCCACCGTCGCCACCGCCCGAGACACAACTCCATGTATCGATGCCACTGAATGAACGCCGGCGAGCGAGAGCGCAGGTGCCGCATGGGGCTCCCTCGGCAGTTGAGCGATATGAAAATGGTAGCGCGATGCGGCGCATGTCTTCGTTCCTGGACAAAAATGCGAAGGCGCTGCGACGACTCAGCGGAATGCCGGCCCTGCCACAAGTACTGGATCTCGAGCAAATTATGAAGGCAGGGCAGGACCACATGGGGTCAAGAGGCGGTATGCCTACGCCGCCATCCAGTCGCGGCTCGAGCCGATCGCCCACACGGGGAGTCGCCGAGGATCTCATGTCAAGGATGAAGCTGAACCGTAGGGGAACAAGCCGCTCAGACTCATCGCTCAGCATGCAAAGGCTGCCGCCTGCGATGGAAGAACCGCTCGAGCCGGTTGACGCTGGGGCAGCGATCCGATCCATGGTGGGCAAGATGAACCTGCGGACACGCAGCACAGTCGGGGTGCCATCGTCGCAAGGTCCAGGTGTGCTATCGGCGGAGGAGAGAACAAGAGCAAGAAGCCGGTCGTCGGGACACAGCGCAGCAGGGTCAATCAGCCGGCCTCGAGGATCGACAAGCACGCTGCGGTCGTTTCGCCTGAGAGAGCTCGTCGAGGGGGAGAACTATGTACAGCCCACTTTCTAGGACTGCAAGGGGGCGCTGCTACTCTCCATCTTGCGTAGATAACCAAGTTGATACGTCGCAGAGGATTTGATAAATGCTGATACGGGAAATCCAAGCCAAGGATCATTGTCTGACTGACTGCAGACAGATCCAGGTGATGATGATGCTGTTCGTCTATTTCGCTCACCCCTTTCTTCCATTGTTGGTTTGAGGAAGGTACGAAGCACGAAAGCACCTGCTTACGTGAGATGGTTCAGGGGCACCTGCCTTCACTCGTTGCTTGGCCAGTCACAGGTCGGAAGCGTCCCCCAGAGCCGTGCCTGCACCTGAAGTGAACCTGCTTGAGCCCGAGGCATGGGGCGAATACTCACTCGGGCTCGGCATCATGCTCTGGTATCGGCATCTCCGTCCTGCCTCTCTACAAGACGTCTGCTTGCTGCCCAACCTCAACTTAAAAATGATCCATCGCGTATTCTCTGCCGTCCTTCTCTTCTTCTATGTCACCGTCTACCTCCGTGTGAGTTTTATCCTGCCTGAGTCTGTCGTCCGTCGACCTTGTCTGTCAACATCGCACCCCTGTCCTGGCCAACCCCTCCCACTCGGCCTGCATCTGCGACAAGGATATCAATGCCATGAATGCCATGAGTGCACGCGACGTACGCTGACCATTCTGCGCCCTACGCCCAGTTTCTCTCCTGGCAGCGACCACAACCCAGGTTGAGAACCTAAAACTTCTCTTCTTCATCTTCACAATTTGCGTCCCAGCATACCTGACACCATGCCGATCACTAGCATGGCAACAACAGACAATGGTAACAGTGTATTAGTTGCCGGCGACCAGTCCAAGCCGTTGCCTCGTCATCAGCCTCCTTTCCTAACCCGTGTCTTGATGGCCAGCAAGCTCTCGGCAATTCAGACTGTCCTCGGCCAGCTGGCTTGGTATGGCAGTTGGCGCGACTACTTTTACCCCCCCGAAATACGGCCTGACCTTGTCAAGCGATATGAGGTTCGGCCAGCGCTGCAAGTCCGGTAGGTTTGTCCATGGGATGGATAGCTTGAGTTGTGACATCTGCCGAAAGCACCGCTAACCTTTTCAGCATCTTCTTCCCCGCTTCGTATGACAAGACATCCCCAAATCCCCTCCCCACCGTCTTCACTATTCATGGGGGCGGCTTCTGCATCGGCAATTCCACCGAGGACGATGTCTGGAATCGTACCTTTGCCGATGGCCATGGGGCTCTTGTCGTGAGCCTCGACTATGCCAAGGCTCCCGCACACGCCTACCCTGGACCCCTACACGACCTTGAAGGCCTTTACCACGCCGTCCTCAACGACGAGAGTCTGCCCATCAATCGCCAGCAGACGGCGCTCCTCGGATTTAGCGCCGGCGGCAACCTCGCTGCCACTCTTTGTCAGCTCGAGTCGCGCAAGGCCCGCGAAGGCAAGCCATCAGCCGTGCCTCGCGCCGTCATCCCCATCTATCCGCCTCTCGACTTTTCTGTTGCAGTCCCCGACAAGAAGCCATCGCGTCGCTTTAAAGAGGGTCTGCTCCCGGGTTTGCGAGGTGAGCGCCGCGACTACGTCGCTGACCTTGCGCCCCTGTTTGACTGGGCCTACATTCCCTATGGACACGACCTACGCGACCCGTTGCTGAGCCCCTGGCACGCCAAAAAAGAAGACCTGCCCGCCAATATCTTTGTCGTGGCAGCTGAGCTCGACTTTCTTGCCTCCGAAGCCTGGACGTGGGCGACCCGACTGGCAGGGCGCGAACCCGTCTCGGGCATTCCTGGACGGCCCGAGGTGGCTAAGACGCAGGAGCTGGAACTTGTGGACGAGAGATTCGCGTGGACGAGCGAGGACGGTGAAGGAAGCAAGCGGTGGCTGCTTGTACCAGACGTGCTGCACGCCTTCGACATGCACCCATCGAGTGCCATGGTCTCGGACGCTGTCACGCTGCGGGACGGCAACGCCAAGGCGGTCAAGGTCATCCGGGTTTTGGGGGAGTGGCTTCAAGAGACGGTGTGGAAGGGGCCACTGTAATGGGCGATACCTGTTCTGCGATGGCATCTGGAGGGTATTTGGATTTACGTCTGATCATTCCTGGCTAGCTGTCGCAGTGATGAATCTATGTTACTAAAAGTCCTGAATCGCAGTCAAGGATTGTTAACGAATGACGCGGAAGAAGGCTGCCTAGGCATCTACAGTCCCGAGATCAAAGTATTTTGAGAGTTATCAATGAAGCAGAGCGTGGCCAGATATAGCACATGAGACAAACGCCGTCTGTCATTCGCTGCTGGCTGGGCTCGCTTGCCTCGAAAGGATCGATGTCGTCTGCATTTCCAAAATCGTCTGCACGCGCGACGAAGCGGACAGTAGCGGGTCATCTCGAGAATCCTCCGCGGTCTCGAACCTTGACGTGACGACACGGACGTATACTAGAAATATACAATGCTACTGTCCATTGCCATAACGAGACGGAGGAGCTTGATCCCTGTCCCTGTGGCTGCGGAAAGAGGAAGTGTTCGCCAAGAATGTGGAATGGGTTCGTCGACAAGAGGTAAAAGATCAACAGTGTTTTAGGGGGGGGGGAGGGGGCGGTTGGAGTTCATGTTTAAGAGCTTGAGTAGAGCTGAGAGAAGGTAGCGGGTAATTACCAGGCTCAGATAGTAGGAGGATAGGCTGCGTGACGTCAGTTTGGCGATGAGGCGCGGAATCCTTCTTGATCCTTCGCGGGAAGGATGACTCGCGACTCAGGCATGGCTGTTATCGCCTCTTGTAACCGTTTCTGGGTCAGGTGCAGGCCTTTTTCACAGCGCGCGCTCGGTGCGTGCATTGTTACTTGTTGAAAGACAACTCAGCAAGACACACGGTGATGCCTGCGTGGTTGCGACAATTGATCCCTCGTCCGAGAAGCCTTTGCCTCGTTTATGGCGGGTTACATCGCTTGGTAGGCCGCGTCGAGGCTTCTCGCCAGGCGGATAGGTTGGGAGGCTTACAATTCATGTCATGGTTCCACGGGGTCCGTTGGAGGCCGTTGGGGGCTTGGGGGCTCTGGGTCCTTGTCTTTGGCAAGGCGTCCGCCGTCCCGATGGATCGTGTTGGCGGAGAAGCGAACAGTGCAACGCGTGATGGAAGCGACGGAGCCAAGTATTGCGAAATGATGGCCTGCCAGATAATAACACGGATGACCTGGTGATCAAGTCCTAGACATCATGACTACCTAGGTACCTACCTTACCTTACCTACCTAGCTAAGGCAAGGTAGGTGCCTGATGGGGCGCCTTAACCGATCAAGACGAGATTCACGAGATACCTCTTGCCGCGTAAGGCATGCGACGAAGAAAGCCGATTCCTTAGGATCGCGAGCTCGCCACTCTGGTCAGGGTCGTCGGACGACGATCGTGCCGAGCGGGAAAGAGGTGAAGAATCCAGGGTCTAACAGAGACCCTGCTTGCATCTGAACGAGGAAGGCTATTTGCTCGGCCCTTGTAGGCTACTCGCTCTATCAGATAAGGGTAATAGCACGCTAGACAGGGGATAAGCCAGAAACACAGCTCCACCACTAAAATTAGCTAGGGTAACTATATACCTCTACTCATCTCTTATACCTTTAAGTCACTCAATAGAATAGTAAAGTATTTAGGCGAGTTACTAAATAGGTAGTAATAGCCCTTAGCGGCCTAAGGTAGCTAGTATTAACCTTTTTATATTATAAATTAGGATATTAGAAAGATTATAGTAAATGTAAACGATTAGCCTTTATTATAGGACTACTATAATTACTAAATTAGCCTTAATTAGAGGCTATTTAGAACCCTCCCTATTACTAGCTATAGTCTCTAGCTATAGTTATAGAGAGGCACTATATATCTATAATAAAGGAGAAGATAGGACCCTTAGTAATAGGCTTAGTAATAGGCTTAGTAATAACTAGTAAGTATATTAATAAGGAGGTATTAGAGAGGCTTTATTTAATAATAAAATAAAGTATTAATAATATCTAGAGGGCTTAGAATAGGAGTATTTAATAGTATTATTATATTTAAAAGTATTAAGAGTTTAGTAGATAGATAGAGTAACTATAGGGCCTTAAGGCGCTATTTATATTACTTTATTAGCTAATTATAGCTAGTCTTTAGCTCTGAATTCATTGAGAGACTCGAGTATATAATAGACGAGTAGAGGTATATACGTAGTTGCCCTAGCTAATTTTAGTAGTAGAGCTATGTTTGCGGCTTGGTCCCTGTCTAGTGTGGTTTTACCCTTGTCTGATAGAGCGAATAGCCTACAAGGGCCGAGCAAATAGCCTTCCTCGCGTCTGAACAGGGCCTGTTCAGCCTAGTTGGCCGTTGTCGGAATTCCTCATATTGATCCGACGCTGGAAGCTCCCTCTGATGGTCACTGCCACTGCCACCGTGGGTCGAAAAGGTGAGCCTGTAGGGCAGAAGGCGCCAAGAGGCATGTCAGTAAGGTACGCTTGGTCGGCGGGTAGCATGGGCGGTGGGGCTGGTTGCTATTTCTATTCTTGGCAGGAGCACACCTTGGGGAGATAGCCGCCTGTTGCACTGCCCCGGCCATTGTGCCCCCAGCTCGCACTGTACTGACACAGGAGGAGTCGCTCTTGAACTCGGCGTCAATGGCGTCAAACACAGTGTGCTGTAGCTTTTCTGTTTCTGTGTTGTGCCTGGTCCCAGTCTTAGTTTCCCGCCTCGCCATCCCACTTCCCAACTCCCCACTGGCCGTTGCCTCAACATCGGCACTGATGCATGTCCCCAGAAGACCCCAAGATCCACGGTCCAAGATTCCGACCATCTATCTTCGTCCCATATCATCAAGTGGCCTACAGGTGGCCAAGAGTTGACCTGATGAAGATGGTGGTCTCCCCGTTCAACCGTCTGTGCCTTGGCGACATTCAGCATCGCCTTGTCCACCTTCACATTTACGTTTTCCCCCTGGACGTAGCGATCGACACTTCTGGACACTCAATCAAGCTTCCAGCCCTCTGGTCTCACATCTGGTGATCCCAGCATCCCGACAGGCCTGGCCAAGAACTTGCCAGGATGAGTGACGCGGGCCTGCAGCCGCGGCCGCATCCCGCGTATCCACTGACGAGCCCCCCCAGGCACATTGTCCAGCCTAACGACATCATCGCCCCCTTCGGCCCCCCCCATGCCTAAGCTTCTCTGTGCCACACCACGGGTCCAACGAGACCTGCTTTTTCGATCCGTCGCCTCGCCCAGCCGCACCACCATGTCCGAGTGGACACTGGCAGGCATCCCCAGATCCTGTCAGTCTACCTAGGTCGGTGCGCGGGTATTGGGGAGTGGGTGATATTACAATCCCGCCCCCGCGTAAGCTTTTCGCGAGTTTTTTCTTGTCCCTGATGGTCTTTGATACCACACCTTTGACTCTCATATCCGTCCCTCCTCATCTCACCGACACCAAGCCAGCGATAGCATTGGGACCCCAAGTCACCCGCCACACTACACATCACCTTTCTGTCGCTGGCCCCTCTCAGCTCGTTGATTACAAGCCACCAACGGGCGTCCGACGAGACCGCCGGTTGGCCCATGTTTGACCATTTTTGAAGAACCATTTCCTCTCTTTGTCTGACCACAGCAAGTCCTTTTCTTGAGATACCCCCATTTTCAGCGTTGCCCTGTCTATTTGCCACCATGTTCGACTCTACAGAAGCATCAGTCGCCCGGCTTCGTCTGCCCAGACTTGACACCAGCGTAGTCAACACGCCGGTTCAGGAGCAGCTCCAACGCGAGGAGCCTGTCCCCGAGCTTCTTGTCGAGGACCGCCTTCTCTCAGCAGTCTCCAACGTTCTCGACATATCAAGACACTCCATCGACCTCATCGACTCTTTCACAGATCTTGGCGGCAACGAAGCTTCCGCCCAGGAACTCCGGAAACGGTGCATGTCCGTTGGGCTCGGCCTCAAGACGAGCGATATCCTCCGCTGTCAGACCCTCGCTGAGCTTCAAACCTGTGCCACCCCGTTCGCCCCTGCAGAGCCGCTACAACCTAACGAGGAGGATCTCGCCAGCGACGCCTCTGAAGTCTCCAGCGACGCAATGAGGAAGAGTAGCGACGAAAAGCTGCACTCACATCAACAAATCCACGCATCCCGGGAGATGGAGGAACGTCACGCGCTCGAGCGGCTCATCATGTCGACGCCCGAAGTATCTGGGGCTGCTGTTGTTCGGCCCAAAGCCGGCTTCCTCGAGGGCAAGCTCATCGCCTTCGTGAGCCTGAATAACTCACGCCTATCCCAATACAGCCTGTCCACGATCCATGTCATCTCCCAATCACAGATGCATTTTGCCGGCAGTCAAATCGCCGCCATCCGCCTTGCTCTTGAACAGACGGCAAGCGACATCACGCTACCCAGCAATTGGATTGTTCTCGATCAGATGCCAGTCACCGACGATGGGACTGTCGACCGGAGGAAACTCCAGACCTGGGTCCAAAACATGAATGAGAGCATGTACAAGCAAGTTACGAGCCTCGAGTCGGACAAGTTATTCCAGGAGCCTCTGACAGACATGGAGCGCACTGTCCAGAAAGCTGTCGCTCGCGTTCTTAGGATACCTGAGCGCGAAATAGGCATGAACTTCTCCTTCCCTCAACTTGGCGGTGATGAAGTATCGACTATGCTGCTCGTAGCCGCATGCCGCACCCAAGGTGTCTCCCTTCGACCAGAGGACATTATGCAGAGTGCCACACTATCTCAAATGGCGTCGCTCGCGTCCTACAAGGTCGCCGTCGGCAACCACTGGAGCGAAGAGTCACTCGAGGGCTTCAAACTGTCGCCCATGCAGCAGCTCTATTTCGACACGGCAACAGGCGGCCGCAACGAGATGCGTACGCGGACCGACGGCAGCTATCGTTTCAACCAGAGCCTGTTACTTCGCGTCACAAGCAACGTCACTCTCGAGGATATCCATGCCGCCATGGAAACCGTCGTGGCGCATCATTCGATGTTGCGTTGTCGCTTCCGCTGCGAAGACGATGCATGGACTCAACGGATCATTCCTGATGTCCAGGGTTCGTATGGATTTGGCTACCACCATGTGAGCGACTACGGTGATGTGTTCATGATCATTGAGAAGGCCCAAACCCAGATCAATATCGAGAATGGGCCCGTTTTCGCCGTCGAGCATTTTCGCACGCCTGACGGTCAGCAGTTGATTTACCTCGTGGCCCACCATCTCGTCATCGACCAACTCTCCTGGAGGATCCTCATTCATGATCTTGATGAACTGCTTAGAGAGGGCACCCTCTTCTCCGAGAGGTCCATGCCTTTTCAGACTTGGAACGAACTTCAGGAGGACGAGATTACCCGTACAGGCGAGGCGTCGCCTCTACCATTTGACCCCGTCAGCTGTGACTTTGCCTACTGGGGACTCGAGGAGTCGCTCAACACGTATGGCGAGGCCCATGAAATCAGTTTTTCCATCAGCGCTGAACTGACTTCAATTCTGCATACAACTTGCAATCAAGTTTTCCGGACGGATTCTGCTGACATCTACATGACGGCCCTCCATCTCTCCTTCTGCCAGACCTTCCCAGATCGACCATCGCCGACAATCTGGAACAAGGAACACGGCCGCGAACCCTGGAGCACTGACATAGACATTACCGAGACAGTTGGCTGGCTCACGTCGCTGTGCCCGATAGGTCTCCGGTCGACCAACAGCGAGGACTTTCTCCACGTCCTGCGTGACCTGAAGGACACACGGCGATCCCTGGCCCGCCGCGGCTGGGACTATTTCGCCTCCCGTTACTTTGGGGCTTACGCGCCTACGCGCTGCGCAGAGGGCTGGCCTTTCGAGATCATGTTTAGCTACAATGGTTCATTGCGTCAGCTCGAGAGGGAGAACGGCGCCTTGGAACAGGTTCCCATTCCTGGGCCTTCTGTAGGGACGTCCGTCTCCAACTTTGGTCACGAGGTCAGTAGGATGTCTCTCTTCGAGGTGTCCATGTCTACAGATGACAGCGGTTGTGCCAAGGTCGACTTTGTGTATAACAAGTTGTCGAGTCACCAAGAAAGAATCGGGGACTGGATCCAGACATTCGAGCATCTCCTATACGAGGCAGTCGGCCGGCTACGCTACCGAGCCCAGGAACTCACCCTCGCTGACGTACCTCTACTCAACACCGACTACGCGGGCCTAGCCAAGTTGAATACCGACAGACTCGTGGCACTCGGTCTCTCGAGTGCGCGCGATATTGAAGACGTATACCCCGTCACGGCCGCTCAGCAACAAATCCTGATCAGCCAGACCTTGTCCCTCGAAACATGCCACAGCATCAACCTCTATGAGCTCACCCTACTGAACGGCACGCAAGTTGACCAGTCGCACATCTGTTCCATCTGGCAGCAGATTGTCGCCAAGTTCCCGGCACTTCGGACCGTCTTCATTGACAGCATCTCCTTAGACGGGCTGTTTGACCAGGTCGTCCTTCGCCAATGCTCACCCAACATGCTGTTCTTCGACGCAGCGCCCGGAGACGACCCCATCGCGGCCCTCAAGAATTTGCCCGATCTTCCAACCAACCCAGCTCAACCCCGCCATCGACTTTCGGTCTGTAACTCCAACAAAGGCACATATATCAAACTGGAGGCCAGCCAGGCCCTGTGCGACATGTTCAGCATGCAGCTTCTCGTCGCAGATCTCAGGAGGATATACAACTCGGGCAAGACACCAATGAAGGTGCAAGACCCCTCCCGAAGTGCCTGCGTACAGTATCTCGAGACAGCTCGTCGGGATGACAGTCTCCTCTTCTGGAAAAATCGACTGAAGGAGATGCCACCGTGCTATTTCCCTCGCCTCCGAGCGGCCGCGGAGATGGCGGTTCAAGATACACATCATCACTTTGACATTTCCTCTGTTCAACTAGATGATTTCTGCCGTAATCATGCCGTCAGCCGCGCGACTGTTCTGCGCCTTGGCTGGGCCCTCGTGCTCCGCGCATTTACGGGTTCAAGTCGTGTGCTCTTTGGCTACCGAACCACAGGACGCACTGACAACGACGCACCGAATGGTCTCCAGCAATCTATCGGTTGTTTCGCAAACACCGTCCCTTGTGCTATGGACTTATGGGCTTACCAATCCGTTGAAGCGATCGTTCGCGATGCCGAAGAGGACTTTGCGTCTTGTCTCGCTCACGAACACATCGGAGCTTCCGAGATTGAGCATGCTCTTGGCCTCAAGGGCGAGACGCTCTTCAACAGCTGCTTCACGTACATGGAAGAGCCGCCTGTGCTAAAGAGTCGCTTCAGCAGCACGCGCCCGCAGATGGCTCTGAAGTGCGTGCAGTCCTTCGATTCCTCGGAACACGACATCTCCATCGTGGCCTTGTTTGTGGACGGAAACCTAGCTTGTAGCGTCTCAGACCGTATCCTCTCAAGCCAGCAATCCCGGAGCGTCACCATGTCGTTTTTCCAGGCTGTGAAGGCCATCGTCAATAGCCCCCTTGTCTCAATTGGCGGGCTAGACTTGTCAATGGAGAAAAACAATGCGTTACTGGGCTCCGAGCGGGTTGAGTTACTCGAGCCGTGCATCCACAGCCTCTTCTCGAACCGTGCGAGAACATCTCCAGAGGCTCCGGCAGTCTGCGCCGGAGACGGCGATTTCTCATACCGGTCATTAGCGCGCCTGGTGCAACGGCTAGCCTCACATCTCATGCAATGGGGCGTCAGACCTGGTGTCGCTGTGCCTTTGGTCCTGGGAAAAACGAGGTGGTCGATTGTGAGCATGCTCGCTGTGCTCAAGTAAGTATTCCATGCCCTCACTGTCCCTTTTGCTTAAGCTGACGAAACCTAGGGCTGGCGGCTGCATCGTTCCGGTCGACGGCGAAGACAGCGGCATGGTCGAGGCCGTGATTAAGCAGGTCAACCCACAGGTCATCCTCGTCACCGAATTGATAGGATCGAAGCTGCACCTCTTCAATGACAGCGTCATTGTTGTCAACGAAGCTTTATTCTCAACCCACCTGCAAGCTGACTCGCCGACACGCAAAGCATCGGGCGATGATGTTGCGTGTATTTTTTTCCCCGCCGGCTCCAGTCGAACGAAAGAACTCCGTGGCTTCGCCTACTCTCACACTGCCCTTTCATCAGCCTTCCTTGCCCAGGGTTTGGCTCTAGACATCGACCAAGAAAGTCGCGTGCTGCAACTATCATCTTTCAGCATTGACACCGCGCTTGTCGAGACGCTCGCAACCCTGATTCACGGTGGCTGCATCTGCATCCCGTCTCCAACAGAGCGCAAGCGAGATGTTGATGGTGCGATCCGGCGAATGGCCGTCACCTGGACCTATCTGACGCCGATTCTCGCTAGGCGGCTCAACCCCGCCAAACTTCCTTCGCTCAGGGTCACCTGCTTCCGAACCCGTGGACTTGACGAAGACACATGTGGCCCCTGGATGGAGCACACCAAGTTACTCCTGGTCTACGGCTGCCTCGAGATCTGCCCTCTCGGCATCTCGGCTTTCGAGGCCAACAAACGCGAAGACCTACAGCGCGTAGCGAAACCTTTCCTCGGCAAGTTCTGGATTGCCAACCCCGAAGATGCAAGCAAGCTCGTGCCCAATGGGGCCATTGGAGAGCTATGCATCGAGAGTCCAATTATCGCTCAAAAGTTTGTCCACGGTCAGCCCCTCAAGCCACTGACGCAAAAGTTGGAGCAAGCCGAGGATGGGCGCCAGATGGTTCGCTATGTCAAGACCAGCCAGAGGGTGCGGTACATGGAAGGCGGAAGCATCGAACTCCTTCCCAGCTCGCGCCAGGACATGGCTGTGGACGGCAAGGTTGTGGAGTCCGCCAAGATCGAACAGGAACTCCGTCGGTGCCTCGGACAAGGTGTTGATGTAGCTGTTGAAGCCGTCGTCTGCAAGGACGGCACCCAGTTACTCGCAGCCTTTGTGCAGCTTGAAATGTCGTGGGATGGACCGGAAGAACTCACCCATCTGAGCGCGGTGACGCGCGAACGAGGCTTCTCCGCCAAGAAGGTTGCGGACCCATCACTGCGAGATATGTTCCCAACGCACATGGTTCCCAGAGTGTACATACCCGTCAAGCGGCTGCCCGTGACGACCGCTATAAAGATCAATCGACGCAAGTTGCAGAAAATGGTCAAGGATCTGACGGAGGAACAACTCGCGGCCATCTTTGGAGCCTCACCCGCGCATATAGACAGCAGCGCTTGCATGAAGCCCCTCCCACTAACACAAGTCGAAGAACGCATGCGGTCCATCTGGTCTGACCTCCTCAATGTCAGCGAAGATGCTATTGACGGCAACCAGAGCTTTGTTAAGCTCGGCGGCGGCACGTATCTCGCCGCCAAGCTGGTCGTTGCATCCAACCGAGCCGGCATGGCAATCAACATCACTGACGTACTGAGGGGGGCTTCCCTCACAGAGCTATGCCAAAGCGTCACCCTGAGTTCTGAAGCCATGCTCAACGTCGATTTATTGCCCTCGCGGCGATCTCTGGATACTTTGTCTGGCACTCTCCTCAACGAGGCCTTCATTGAAGAGGTCATTGTTCCCCAGCTTGGGGTGGAGCGAAAAGCCATCAAAGATGTGTGCGAAGCTTTCCCCGCTCAAGTCAGATCCCTCGAGCTCGGCATGATGAAAGACCGTGGCGATGTCACATACATCACTCTAAACATTGCCCGGCTTCAGAGCGTCAAGAAGCTTGAGTCAGCGTGCTTTGGCCTCTGCATGATACATCCGATTCTGCGCTCCGTCTTTGTTGCCCATGAGCGCAAGGTGTATCAGGTAGCAGTGCGGTCCTCTGGCCCGGACTTCAAGAAACTCCAGTGCCCGAGTTGGAGACTGTCGGGTCTCACGACAAAGCTGATCAAGAAGGATCAAGAAGAGCCTTTGACTCTTGGAAAGACTATCACCCGATTCATCCATGTTGATTCTGGTCATCAGTCAACCTTGATCATGCGATTGTCAAAGGCGCAGTGCGACGAAGCGTCAATTCCCATACTGATCCATGACCTCAAGAGACTTTACACTGCTGCAGAAAAGCCGACCAGGAGGCCTACACACTTTGAATTTATCAGGTTCGCGCAGACTTCCAACAGAGAGAGCGCAATGAAGCATTGGGCCTCGTTGCTTGAAAATGCCGAGATGACCCGGGTCGTGCCCCGCGATGCGCCTGCACCCCTTAGTACGTCTGCGAGGACTATCCGGGAAAAGGTGTCCATCACGTCGCTGTCTGGTCTCGGAGTTACCTTGGACACAGTCGTCAAGGCAGCATGGGCTATTGTGCTGGCAAACCTGTCCGCGTCCGGAGATGTGCTTTTCGGCGAGATTATTGATGGTCGCCAACTGCGGCTTGCCGACGGCAGCAGTGTGTCAGGTGTAGTTGGCCCTACAGGTAACACACTCCCGGTTCGTGTCCGTTTCGGAGACGCCTACTGCACCCCGATGGACATCCTCCAGACGATTCATGGACAAAGAGCACTTGTCAAAACCTTTGAGAACATGGACTGGAGGGCCGTGGTGGAGAACTCGCCGAAGATCCCCCTCTGGGCGCCCTTCAGCACTGCGGTGTACCACCAACCGACCGAGGACAAGAAGCAGCCGACTGATTTCAAGCTTGGGAATGCATCGTGCAAGCTCGTCGTACAGGAGTCTCCCTTAAGGGATTTGCACGACCTACTTGTCACCTCTAGCCTGCCGAGCCCGACGCGGGCCGAGATTGCCCTCACGTTCTGTGAGAACCGCATCCCTAAGACATTTGCCGACGCGACACTCAAGTACCTGGTGTCGACAATCGAGCTTCTTACCTCTGTGTCGATGATGCAACCCCTAATTCCATCAGCGACCGACTTTGCGACGATGCGCCCACAACTGCCTTTGCCTCAACCCGACTTCGATGCCATTCAAACCCAATCAAGCGCAGGGCTGCCAACGGATCTGCACTTTGCTATCCAATCCGTCGTCGCCACAGCCTGGACCAAGATTCTTGATCCGCGCTCACTCGGCGTGCCCGAAAAGCAGCTGCACAATGCTGCCTTCTACGACCTATGGGGCAGTCTTATTCCCGCGTCACAGCTTGCCGAGTACCTGACGCGTGAGCTGCCCCATATCGGCATAGCTGGTCTGGATGATGTTCAGATCAACATGGAGGAGATCATTGCGAACCCCACAATGATGGCGCAGTTTGAGCTCGTCGCACGCAAGATTCGCGACAGCCGAGACGGTGTCAAGAAGCGCCTTGCCGCCACGCATCGTAGCCCAGCTGCCATCGGAAAGAGCTTGCGCCGATTGACTAGCAATGTCATGAAAGAAAAGGGGTATGGGCGCTCTGCTAGTGACAGCTCCACGGAGTCTCTTGCCCTGAAAATAACACACCCGCACCTAAACCCGCCCTCGCAACTGGGAGCCCGGCCCCAACCCATACCCGAGGCGACCTCTGCAGCAGCTGCAGATCCGGTGGCTGAGATGGACGGCGATGAGATTGAGCTAGATGAGGAGCAACTGTTTGAACACTGCAAGAACGGACCCGCACCGCAGCCACTGTCGCTTATCATGGAACGAGACGACAGTGGAAGCAGCATGGAGAGCTTGACAACGGGAACGAGCGAAAGCGACGAAGAGGAGGATGTTGCAATGCCGATGAGCCGCGGGCCCCAATCTCTTGGGCGCATTGCTAACACGGTAAGCCCACTGACGCCCGGGGTCAAGCAAGGGCACTTGTTTGGACGGAGCAACAGCGGCTTGACAGAGGCCAAGGGGAGTAGCGGGCCTGGCTTGATGAAGAAGAAAGCAAGCAGCATGTTCGGAAGGATGGGACTCATGGGCCCAGTAGGCGTCAACCATTAGGCCATGATTAGATTCTGGCGAGGCGATGACGATTGGCTTCAAGTCAAGTGGATTCAGCGAAGCGTTGCTCAGCTTTTGAATGTATAAACAAAGCGTCCCTAGATCGTTAATAGCAAGTCGTGTGTTTCGGAATGTCGTTCATAATCGCTTCATGTGTATATTGTCCGACGAGTTAGGCGGCACGCTCATGGCAGAGTTAGATTGAATCCGCAAAGACTGTACCACGCCGTAACGTCGTCCATTTGGCGATTTTGCGACCTTGTCTAACTGGCGCTAGGCCCGGAAAGGGAAATGTTTCCAGTATGTCCTTCACATTTTCCGAGATTACTCCTTCCCCTGAAACTAATAACTGCGCGCGCCATTGCTTCACAATCATTTTCTCCACGCCACGCCCGACGCGGCTAGCTACGGCATTTTCTGGGCAGATATTGAGCCAGTCTCACGCTAGGACTGATCTTATCTTGACGCAAGGATTCCACTTTGATGGGATGCCTGCTCAAGCTTGGTGTTTGGTCAGATCAGAAAGCCACCTGAGGGTAGGGCTCGATCCACAGGCCCAAACTGTGACCTGCCCGGTTGCCAGCCTCGTTTGCACTCGAGCACCTGTCTAAATACGAAGAAGGCCCTCCACTTGACAACAAAAGGCACAATGTGAGAGCTTGTCCTACTTTACACTACCTCGTGTGACAGCTACGGCGAAGAATCGAGAGTCTTGCTAGTGTGGTACTCAACCTTTGAGCAGACCGAGGCTTTCATTAATCTGTCGAATGAACTCACCAGCAAGCAGAATTTGCTGCTTTATATTCTCGATATTCTTTGGGTCTCGACGGTCGCTTGCTGGTTTCTTCGCTTCAGTAGCCTTTGCGTCGGCGACGACGCCTTGTCCACGTAATTGCATGCTGTAAATTGTTCAATAGTGTGATTCGGTATACTAGGGTTCTTGTGGAAATCTTTGACTGATGAGTCGCGATATGTAGCTGCCCCGGGAGCGGATATTTGCCCTGTTGGCTGTGACCGCGACGAAGGCATAGGCTGGACTTAGGAGTTGGGTGTAAAGTCCGGGCAATCACGTTCACAGAGTCTTCCAAGATAGAATAAGATATCTGGATATACTTGAGGATGGGTTTATCGTTTGATCAGAGTGCTAGGTCCTGGACCAACCTGTCAGTAGTTGGGTTGTTGATATTGTCCCAACATCGAACCACAAACTGTCGCTGGGAGCCGCGTGCCTTCTCCAGTAGGTTCGTCCAATGAGAAACAATCTGATGAACCGTATCACACGGCAACAGGTACCTATATTCAAGGGACGCGTGCATGTCACGTTTATAACGTTTGTACGCCAGCGACGACAAGGACCCCAACGCCGCACCACCCACACAACCAGGCTAGCCCCCAAGGCACCGCAGCTGAAACCCAGTTGGCAGGCCAATTAGATGCAAGGCCGTGATATAATGATGCTTCTTGACGTCGTTGGTGGTCTATAGCCTGGTGCTCCTGGGATCATGCGTTTCGTTCACGCATGGGTCACATCGGTAACCCTGGCAGGCCTGGCAAGCCAAGGTTTTTCCATGCTCCTCGTCGTCATCACCATCCGAGGGAGGTACCCTGGAAGGGCTAATTGGTGCACGACTCTACTTGAGATGAATCTGGCCTCGATCCGGTCGAGATACTCTCCCTTCATCGGCTCCGTCCGGATCCTGCACGGCAGCCGCCAAGCAAACGGACAGTTGGCGTAACAACGATTGTCATCGATTTCTCACTGCCCCGCCCAAAAGGAGAGGCACCCTCGATGAACAAGTGACACGATTGCTGAACGGAACTTGGTGTGCGGGGGAAAAGACGCGAAGAGGGCTTACGGCTGTCGGATAAGGGGTACTCAGGTGCAGCTTGCACAAGCCATAGCGCAACCATTACTATGAGGTCACTCAACCCCGAGGAACCGTACCCTCGGAATAACCAAGGCTTACCTTCGAGATAGTCAGAATTGCGAGAAAGCTCCTTCTTTTTCTCTCCAAAGTGATTGAGGATGTTCCGCAAAATTGAATCAATAATGCCTAAATGGCCGAAGAGCACGATGCAAACATAAAAGGCTAAGTCAAAGGCCGTCCATGATCAAAACGAGCAAACTTGCGACCGAATTCTTCCTTCTGTGCCAGCCTCCCTCACCCCCCTGCAATGCTGTATGCCATCATGAAGAAAGCACTCATAACACGAATCCCTCAGGCTTCCACCTCGGCAAAACCACCCGTCCAACCCTCAATTTAACTACTCATGAATGAAATAACGTTAAAAATACCCCCCCATACATTTTCTTGCAGGAAAGTGGCAGCGGGGTAGGGGTTAGATTTGTCGATGCACCTGTAGGCGTTCGCCAATTATCTGCTGGAGAGGTTTATCAGCGGACGTAAAGAGCACCATTGATTGAATCTGATCTGAAGGGTGTCATTCAAATGTTGATACCTGCCCCCTTGATTTCAAGGCTGCCTTTTAAGCGACACTTTCGGTAATTACTGAGGTGGAGGAAGCTTCGGTGCCACCACATGGTCTGAAGCTTAGTTGGTATCGCGGTGGAAACCGGAGCCAGGTCCGCTGGGGATCGGAGTGAGGTCCGACCAGTTGCCAGAGCCGGATGGTTCCCTTCTTTCTCGCACTGGGGATCGTATGGCCAGTCATTTGGTCGCGCAATTGTAAAGTTGAAAACTTTTGCAAGGATTTCAAAAAAATGTCCTGGGGAAGCGACAAAGTACCTCCAGATTACAGGATTACTTATCAAGACTTGCATTTAATGGCGGCTATAATCTCCCTAGTGAGGGGCAATCTGATCATCTATAACATTGTCAAGATTACTAGATCTCATTGTGCAGGGTCAGGATGCTCCACAAGATGCCCACGCCTGACCATGAGTTGAAGCAAGAGCTCGATCCCTTCCAAGGCGTGGGTGGCCTGATTTCTGTGGAGTCTGGACCAAATTACACAGCCATTGGAATATGCGCATTGGAAGATCGTGTTCTACCCTTGTTGATGTCAAGAGTTCGTGATTGTAACATGATTCGCTAGGTACACAGGGGGTCATGACATGTGAAGGCTGCATGTAAGAAGCAATCACATCACAAAGGGGTCTGGGCTGTAACAACCAAGGAAGCAGGGCGGCCGCGAATCGACGACCCCGCGATCAGGGAGCGCGATAAGATAAGAATCGGGCCCACCTGGCAAATCACGTGATGGCTCACTCAGACATAAAGGGTGAGTCGTCGGGCTCACCAAGGACGCCGCAGTGAGCCAGGGAATGGCTCACGGGATAACACACCGTGATCCTAACATCATGGATCACCAACAACTAACCAGTGAGCCATCCAACATGAGCTCACCACCTAACACAACAAGGACAGGATGGCAGGTATATAAGGACGGACATTCTGGACTTGTAGATACATTCTTTCTCACGACAGTGATCAATCTAAGTCTTACCTTGTATTCATTGTAACGAGTGCGCAACGCCTTACGACACCACATCGTCTCAGAGTCACAACCTAAGCTTCTGCAAACAGCAACCCCAACCCTCTGACAGTGTTCCCCCTTCGGAAGCTGCCAGGTCGTAACATGGGCATCAACGGCAAGCTCTTAAATCCTATTACTTCACCGGGACTATCTCCGTTACGTAAGTCCCGCACGTTAGTGAACTGTGGTGATGGGAATAGTGAACTTTCAGATTTATGGCGAGCTCCACGCTTTCGCTACGAAGGGAGAAAGCTCTTCGAACTAAGGTCAGAAAACTGTATAGCCCCTCCTTGCTTCAACCCGCCGTCTAGATATCAGTGCTAGACGCAACACTGTTCCGCAGTCAATCTTTTAATTTCGATCAGCACATCCCGGAGTGACACTGGAAACACTGATTCCTTGAGCAGAAGCTTGTGTGTCAATCGTGTCCGCACGGAAGTCACCCACGGACCCAGATACATGCGGGTGCATCACACCATCACGGATGAAACCAGGATCTGTCGGCGCAATGCCTGTCCAGAGACATCTAATGGCATGGGTCATATCCAGGGGGCTAGAGTTACCCCTCCTTTTGCGCACTATCCTTCTTCTCCGCGTGGTTTGCCCGTGCTAGGTGAATGGAGAGCTAATAATACTCTAGAGCGTTTACGTTATAATAGCGGTAATAATAGTATAGCTATTAAGAGAGCTATTAATAGCGAATAGTATAGCTATAATTACGGAACTTATTAATATTAGTTATAAAGGTTAATATAGCAAAGAGAATACTATATATAGGAGTTATAAGGAGTTAGAGTCTTATAACTACTCTAGTAGCTTAAATAAAAGCTAAACTATAATAATATATATATTATAAAAAAAGAAAAATCGTAGCTATAGAATAGTATACTTTTTATAACATTCTATAGAGCCGTTCTATAGCAATAAGCGTTTAACTTCTCTTATACCCTATTAGCTAAAGCTTAAAATCCGACTCTACTTCCCCTATAGGTCTAGAGGTAGTCTAAGCGCCTTATCTATACGTGGCTACTAAGGGTTAGTCTATTATATATAGAGGGCACCCCCTAGATCTATTTTTTTAGGTTTTTAGATCTTAATAAATTATCTAATTCTAACTATACTTATAAGTTCCCCTTATATAGTAATTCCTATCTAATTTATATATTCTTAATTATTATAAATAGATACCTTCTAAGATACGCCTTACTCTTATTAAGATTAATCTAAATACTCTTCTTAATTAATTATAACCTTCTTCTTAATTAACCCCTCTACTTACCTGATACGAATAGCTAGGTGGAAGGGCCTGCCCTGTGGCCGTGCCTTGAGGCCGCCTATGGCCTAGCACGTGGCCTGGCCTGTGGCCCTGCCTGAGGCCTGAGGCCTGGCACGTGGCCTGACTTGTAGGCCCGTGCCCACTTACCTATATATATGCCTACGTGGCCTTCCAACCCAGGTAGACCAATTCATCTATCTTACACCTATAGAACAGCTACCTAGCATCTGTTGTGTGTTCCTGGCGTGACGCCTGCCTGGTCCCCAAGACCCGACTCTATTACTAGCCGCACTAGAGCCGTAGCCATTTCTGTGCGTAACATTACCTACCTTCGATCTAAACGAAAAATATATTATTTTATAGCTCTCGTTAAGGGCTATAAGACCCTTTAATCTATTCCTCGATCCGATATCTCCTTCTTAAGATATAACTACTTTTATCTCTCCCTTCCTCTTATCTATTATTATCTCTTTATTCTATAACTAAGTAATATCCTTAGTTATTGCCTAATACCTCCTATATCGACTACGATATATTAAAATAAGATTAATCTAAGTATTCTTCTTAATTAATTATAACCTTTATTATAATTAATCCCTCTATTTACTTACCTCCGATCTAGATGAAAACTATATTACTTTATAGTTCTCGTTAAAGGCTATTAGAATCCTCGATCTATTTCTCGATTAAACGTTTCCTTCTCGAGATATAACTACTTTTATCTCTCCCTTCCTCTTATTTATTATTACCTCCTTATCTTATAATTAAATACTACCCTTAGTCGTCACTTAATACCTCCTATATCGAATACGATATATACTAATACTATAGATTAATAAATTAAAGTAATTAAAAGGTATAGATTAGAGGAAAACTTATAAATAGAGGATAAAGGAGGGCTAAAGGAAGGGAAATTAGAAATAAGCTATATAAATACTAAAAATCAATAATTAAGGCCTCCTATTAAGTTTTACGTAAAACGGTTAAGTAGTAATAGATAGGAGGTACCGCTATAGAGCGCTATATAAGAATACTACGGGGTACGATTAGAAGGCTACGGATTATAACTAGAGGACTACGGAGTAAGGCTATTCCTACTAACTCCTAGAGACTAGGAGTCCTAGAAGGGGGGGTTATATTAGGGTTCCCTACGGGTTCCCTACGGAGCCGCTAAGTAGGGGGTCGGCTAGGGACTAAGGGCTACGAGAACGTATATATATATAGGCTACGGAGGGCCTCTAAGCTGCGGAGGGCTAGAATTTAGATGTATTACGACCCTTAACCTATCTTCTATCTGCTGCGGACCACGTGCGGGAGACCTCTTCACTCTGCTCTAATCAACGCTCTAACACAGATAAGGCAGGTGTGACAACAGAGCTCTGCAATTCTGACCCTGCTTATTTTGAAGCATAGAGCCTCTCTGCCACGTTCATTCTCTTCATCTCGGGAAGAACGATTATGTCCGTGATGGCACAATACATGACGCTACAGTTGGGAATGTACAAACATGAGGTTAATAGTCTCATTGGCGTTGGTGCGAGGCGATCAGCTGTGAGCCATGTGAGAAAGAAGGAAGACCCAAAAGAGGCACAATGTTCGTCTTGAACGGGGGACAAGGCGCAGAGCACTAACGTAGGAGGTTGACAACATTTTCACATAATATTCACCATGATTCTACTTCATTCGAAGCCGAGCTATGCCCGCAGAACACACCATTGACGCTTTACAGCTGGCATGTATAGATACTTCGCTGGGTTACAATGTCGCCCCACTCTCAGGTCTCAAAAATGGGACCGACACCGTCGGAGTTTGGTCCGTTCCCATTTGTAGCCCACGCACCACTGTGTCTTGGGTCTTGAGGAAGGGGACCCCCCCTAGTCAGGTTGGTACGGGTGATTGGAGATACAGCGAGACTCTTGCCTGCATCTCCGGACCAACTCGGATCGTGATCCGTAGGGCGTGGTCTACGCGTGGCGGGTGCCCTAACAGCCTTGCCGATGCAGCCATAGCCTGTCAGATGCCACTAGTGGTGATTCCCCAAGTTCTAACCCGTTCACCTGGTCGTCACTGAAATGGCGATGACTATGGGGGGCGTTGATATGCTCCTGTACCGAGTTACATCGCGAAGCAGTTGGTGCAAAATATGTCGTTGCAATTTCCAGAAATTGCCAACGTTGTGGTCTCTTCAGCTGTGCAAAAAGAATGAAAAAGAATAACGATGACTTGCAATGTTTTCCTAGCTTCTCGTAAAAAAGAAGCGGCGCATCCCATCAACTCCTACGCATAATAACGGTCATGACCCAGGCGTAAACCCTCCTTACATTCCGTAAGAATACAAGAATTCCTTCCGAACCAAGGTAAGAAACTTGCGTGTTACCCTGAGTGAGAAGGTCCCATCCAGTCCACAATATCGTTCAATACCAGCCCTTGGTTGTTTTCGTTGTATGTGTTGTGAAAGCTTCCCACCTGTCCCACTTCATGGTACGGCATTGACCCTTCTGCTACGTCCCAGTCATATTGTGGAGGACGTGTATTCCCGTCCTCCAAAGAGGCGAATCCAGTCGATCCTGCTCCCTGAGTATATGCAGGCGACCAACTGGCAGCTGGGGAGATGCCGCTGCTGGAGGAGCCATGCCGGTTTGAAGTGAAGTTGTCGGATCTCTGCGATAAAGTGGCAGCGGCGTCTTCAATGTAACTCTCAATGAAAGAGCAGCCGCAGCCACTATGCTGGAGTACCAGGTCCTTGAGTAGGATGACTTCACTGCGTAGCTCGGCATACTGATTTTTGAGGTTCTGGTTGACGGCGCCGATGGCCGCCTCCTGTGTCTGCAGGTCTTCGATGCCGCGTTGCTTGCGTACGCGACACTTGTGCGCAGCCTCTCGGTTGCGGGCACGAAGGCGCGTTTTCTTCTCGAGAGTGCTTGGGGTCCCGTCGACTTGGGTTGAGGGAAAAGAGTCGACGGAGGATGCTGACGGACGACGATCGGCCGACGGCCGTGGTGCTACTGCCATTGGAGCGCTGGATCTGTGTTGGTGATTTGATGCTGCTTTCGGGGGCCGGCCGCGTCGCTTTGGCTGACTGCGTGGGGTGTCTGTCGTGAGTTCAGGAGGTTGTGTGATTTGATCCCCGTCCGAGGCGTCCTCATGTATGAGGGCTTGTCCATCCAGATTGGACTCAGAGGGGGAGTAAGAATAAGGGACACCATGCGCGAAGGCGTCTACATCCACCTCTCGAGGCAACCCTGGTCTTGTGTCTGACAGAGTCTTGTTCTTAGGCCTGGAATTGCCCTTGCGTGTCAGGGGGCCCATTGGCGCTGCGGGCTGTGTGAACAGTAGGGTGTCTCCACCAGGCTCATCCATCTTTCTCCCACCCAACAAGCGGACACGACTCCAAGTTTGGCCTAAATATGAGGCCTGACAAGAGAAGAAGTCCCAAGTTGAGGAACAAAATGCGGGAATGCGTTGCGAGGTGACGATGGCTTGATGGCCAACTGGCTGGCAGCAGATGCACAGCAGTCTGAAAGCTTCAAACAGATGCAGGACACAATCTCAAGGTTCGGGCCCCAGAGCTTGAAGCATGGGAGACTAGTGAGGGGAAGCGGGCGTAGCCGATGAGCGGTAGGGGATATCGCAGGCACGAGGGCTACGTTAGCGTCTCGACTGCTATGGATGTTTAAACAAGAACTCGGAGATGGAGATGGCGCGTGTCCAGGAGGAGGACATCAGAAATGGAATGTTTGCTACAGAGCCTGGTAAGCACGGGACGCGCATGTCTCCTCATATAGACTTCTGAGCCGCAAGGCGAGACAGGACATAACCGCCGGGGAGGCGGGGAGGCTGCGCATCATAAGGTACCTAGCCGGCCGGACCTAGAAGCGGAAACAGAGGGATAGCATGGCGAAAGAGCACCACCAACTTGCATCCCACATGGAAATTCAGGATGATCCGGCACATCGACTGTACTGGAATCACGGCGTGCTCGCTGTAACTTGACATGTACAATTCATTGCCCGATGGGTGGGTACATAGTAACCTTCTGGGCAGGACGTGGGACGACCCAGAAGGGCCCAGGCTCCTCGGGCTAGGTAGGTGGCGTCTTGGACAGGGAGCAGGGCGAGTCGTCCAGTCTTTCCAACGAACCCCGCCCGCCTGCTTCCCACCTGTCTGTCTTTTTGTCATCTCAAGCTGCAGACGACATGGTCCTGAGGAGGTATCTGCTGAGTTTCTCCCAACGCTCTTCAGAGCAGATTGGCCAATGGCAGCCCTGGCCGAAACGGAGGTGGCTCGCCGTCAGAGACATGTGTACCATTGGCCCGCAAATGTCCTGTCTGCCTGGTTACTCACCACAGCAGCCCTGCCATTCGTCAGCGTATTTCCCGGATACTGCTCCGTCTCCGATGGGTGGGGCCATCCGGCGGCCCACTTTACGGCGCCGTACATCTTGCTCCTGGCCTGGCTTGCCTGGGTCGCCTGGGGTCTTCCTGAGTCCGTATCGGTACAACAAACATCGGGGGCCAAACCTGACTACCTGTCCGTCTACAAACAGGGATGATAGCGGCGGGTGCTGCTTGGTAGAGAGTGTGTCTTACGCTTAGGACTTGGAGATGGAACCGTTTCCAGAACCCTTGGTTGATGCCGTTTCTCGGTTGTCATTGGCCTCCTGGTCATTAGCCCTGTACTCGATACCTATACCCCGAGCCGAAAACGTCGGGGAGATCGTCCACCCTTAAGCTCGTCGAAGCCTGAACCCTTTTCTGGTCGAGCACGGACCCCCACCCACCACCACAAGGCATTGGCTTTGATAACGTCGTAGTCAGGGGCCACCTCCGTCAGCCGGACGGAACCAACCCCGTCTATCTTCATAGTGTGGCCCCAAGTCCCTCATGGCCTCATCTACCTACAACAAGGAGCGAAGACAGTCTTCTCGAGATGCTGACAGAAGCCGAAGAAAGGCGGTGGACACGAGAGGATAAAAAACCATGTGTGCTTTTTGACAGAGACTCTCGGTGCGTTGTCATTGTCTGTCCGAGATTCAAAGGTACTGAGACTAAAACATACTGTAAAAATGGTTGGTCTGGAGTTTTACCAACTGATTTACCGTACTGCTAATATTACTACCTGCTATGCTACCTATTCGTACCCGAGTCGGGCCTTGGTCCGCCCGCTTTAGCCCAATACGCTTCGACGTATTTCTTACCCTCGAAGGGCCACACTTTGTTCCTTTGCAACACTCTCATCCCCATCACATACGTCTTCTCTCCACCCCCTTGCATGAAAACTCCAAGTCATGTCGGATTATGACGTTCCAGCTACGAGAAATGCGTATTTTCTCTTGCCAGTGCCTACCATGGGCTCAGAGATGGTGCACAACCTTAGTCAATCTGTTGGACCCCTCGTATGCTCAGCAAGCTTCGGACCTCAACCCCGTTCCGAAATTCATTAGTTTACAGAGAAACAGATACAGAGAAACAGACATTCAGAAAAGCCGCGTCAGATGTTACCTCGATTGGCATGCGGTCCCCGTGACGCCTCCGTGTCTCCCGAATCCCATCCGCCCGAATTCCTCCCTTCCGACGAGTCCACAACTCCCACATCTGCGCCAATTTCGTCCGAAGAGTTACAAGTCCTCTGTATCCCTAATTCAACGGCACTTGATGATGAACGGCTGTCTGTCTTGCCAGCTAGTGGAACCGAATTTCGAAATCGAAACGGACAGGCCGTGTCCGTGGTGAACCGCCTGGCTACGCTGAAAGCAGTGGACAAGGAAAGAAGACGAAACAAGTTTGTTGCGAGATCTCCGTACGTGGCACTTCACAAAGACTACCAGTTGGAAAATAATTCAGCATACAACAGCTCGAATCCACGAGTGCCACGTGCTCTACATAGTGATCGAATACCTCGACGAATCTTCCTGCGGTTGCCGAAACGTCTTTTCGATTGAACAACAATGCCGGCAGCCACTATAAGCGGCAGCCTGTATCAAAACATCGACCGCACTAGGAGTGTGACTGCGGCGCTACCGGCCTCGCTCTCGCCGGCGATTAAGAGAGCGACAGGCAGCAGACAGCCTGGGGAACACGGCCACAATGGTCAAGTAAGAGGCACCTCTATGCCAACTTGTCATTACACAAAACCGATGCCCTGGGGAGTATTTGTTTTGCAGATACATTGAGATGATGCGATACTGAGACGGAAACGTTCCAGCTACTCAAAAAACGCCCAACCACATCGACAACAGACAGGACATCATCGTACGGTCCCCTGCAAAGAGTTAGACCGCTCCCTGAGAAGGCCTCTTGCGAAGCTGTAAAGCGTGGATGGCTCCATATCATCAGTTCAAGCTAAGTTTCTCTCAGGCGTGCCATACTCAACGCCGAAGCAACTGGATTGCCTGAACTGCTCTCATTTGGTGTGTTAGACTGAGCAAGCCTCCTACTATTCTTCCCGGGAACCTCCAGACTCGCATTAGAGGCTATAACTGAGGATCTCTCGCCAAGATGTGACCGACTACAGTCGCTTACCTATAATGCGTTCCTAACAACAAAAAGCCTAGGGCTTATCTCTGTCGAGTGAAAGATAGCCAATAGCCAGCCGTAAGCCCTGATATCGCGGCTGTGCGAGTGTTGAGGAAGAGAAAGAAGACAAGTATTGATTCATAACGACCAACTCTACAGCCTTTTCTTCGTTCCCGCTGATACAACAACCGAGGAACTGGCATTAAAGATACTGATCCAGTCACGTGACTTCCGCAACCATTGATGCCTCGATGTCGCGTCCATTATGTATCCAGAATTCTAGATAAAGAATCCACTCCCAGAAGATCATAAGCGAAGCTGCGCAGTAGTTGTTGTTTTGCCACTCGCAGGACCAACATGTTCTGAAACTGACATCGTGGCTTGGATGCACTGACGATGCACCTTACAGTTGGCGCTCGTCTAGTGCGTGAGTCCAACGCCAATGGCAAGCCAGACTAGTATGCTCGTCGAATATTAGGAACTTCTATGAAGCTTCACACAGGCTTCTATTGCTGTCTGTCTACTACGTACTCTTTTCCATGTCATAATCGTGTTGAACAGCACACTTACCCTGGGGATACTTCGTTGAGCCTTGTGTATGGATACAGGACGTAAGAAATGCTAAATCGATTTTTTTGCTCAAGCCCCGTTAGCTATGACTACCAAGTTTTTGTAAAACGTAACTCGGAGAACCAGATATGTATCGTTCTTGACGACTTTTAGGCTACTGCTGGTAGTCGAAATGACCTACGTGCTCACATTATGACGGTACACAAAGCCGAGAGGTGTTGTGTCTTACCACCGTACATGCGACAGACGACGGGTATCAATTTAGATCATAGAAGAGTAATGTCCATTGTAGTGGCAGGGTATCAAGCAGTACAAGATTACACAAATACAGAGATACACGTCGGCTCAACGCGATGGCAATGTGACCAAGTGGTCCGATTTCTCAAGTGGTCCGATTTCTCAAGCATGCAACCTCCTAGACCCGGCAAGAACAGAGCGACCGTTCTTACATGACCCGGTTCAGTATTTGCCTCCACTTGGGCAGCGACTTCTGATGTTCGCGATACTCGCGGATGGCCTCCCAGTCGAGCTCGCGACGGCCAGTGTCAACGTCCATCTGCGCTGTGCGCAACCAGCCCGTACGCTTCCACAGGAAGCCGCAGATCCAAAAGAGCAGAACGACCGGCAGGGCGAGATACGACTTGAAAAAGCCTTCGGCATCGTTGAGCGCCGACTGGCCTGGGGGAGCGATAGCTGTGTAGAACTAGAGAAGTTAGTCTTGAGTCTAACAAACGGCAAGTGTCTTGATGATATACATACCTGGGCAGCAAGAACAATGAAGCAAAGGAAGAGACCCAGCCAGGACCCGTAGACACCGCCAGCCGCGTGGAAAGGAATCTCATCGACTGTGTGGCCGTGGTACGCCCATGCCTTGCGGAAGCGAATGTGAGCGAGGCAGATGGATCCCCACGTAAAGACAGCGGCCAAACCGGAGAGGGCAAGCAGCCAAGCGAAGACATCGGGACCGGAAGCGCTGAGGTTGATGTAGGCCAGCGGACCAAAGAGGATGATGGCCAGTACCGACGGCAGCGGGCGGCCGGAGCGATCAATATAAGTAAAGATCTTGGGGGCGTAGCCCTGCTGAGCCAGAGCAGTCAGGGTACGTGATCCGCCGTATACACCGGAGACGCCGATGGAGAGAACGGATACTAGAATGATGAAGTTCATGAAATGGTCGAATCCTTTCAGGCCGCCGTATAGACCAACGAGAACAAAGGGCGAGGCCTTGACGTCTGAATAGGCCGAGTCGGACAGCAGGCTTGGGTCGTCAGAGGGGATAAGCAGGCCAACGAAGAAGAGGCCGAGAATGTAGAAGAGCGTGATACGCCAGAACACCTGCTTGATTGCGCCAGGCAGGGACTTGACGGGGTTCTTGCTCTCAGCGGCAGCAAGACCAACGAGCTCCGTACCAGAGAAGGAGAAGGCAGCCGTTACGAAGACGGAACAGAAGCCCTTGAAGCCGTTACGGAAAGCGCCCGGGTCATACCAGAGACGCGCGCCGTAATATTCATCGTAGCGACCGCTAGATGGGCCGCCGCCGAGAACCAGGACCAGGGCGATAATCATAAAGATGACGATAGCCGCGAGTTTCAGCAGGGACGACCAGAATTCTTCTTCGGCATAGCCAATACTGCCAAAAATGTTGACAATAATAATAGCGACGAGGAAGACGGTGATCCAGACAGCTACGCTGATGCTGTCATTCCAGTACGCAACCACGAGGCCGCAGACTGTAAGCTCAAGGGGCAAGACAATAGCCCATTGGAAGACGTAGTTCCAGCCCATGGCAAAACCCCACGAGGGGTCAATAAAGCGAGTCGAGTATGTATAGAAGCCACCAGATACAGGGTACATTACAGCCAGCTCACCAAGAGCGAAGACTGGAACTGGTCAGCCGAAGGAGCTTTGCGATGCTGTAGGAAGACTGTGACATACCAACGTTGAAGATCATGACACCGACAATCATGAAGCCAAGAAGAACAGAGGCAGGGCCCTAGACCTGGTCAGCTTGCGCTCGGGAGCGCTGCGCAAAGTGAAACAGTACTCACACCAGAGGCCAGCGCGCCACCAGAGCCGACGAAGAAACCGGCGCCGATGGAGCCGCCAATGGCAATCATGTGCAAATGGCGACTCTTCATGGCGCGGTCCAGCTCGACGATGCCACGACCATAGTCGCGCTTCTGGAATGACTTCAAGTTCAGACCGCTGCGGGTCATGAAGTCTTCCTCCTGTACGGTACCGGCGCTGGCATTGTTATGGCCAGATTCGTTGTAGCCAGGCAGCGGCGCAACCTTTTCGTCGGCCGCGGGCTCATGGACGAACCCATTGCTGGCCATGGTCGGCAGTGGGTGATGGAGCGAAGAGGAGGAGTGTTCAGCTCAGCAAAGAAGTTGTGTATAGTGGTGGCTGCAAATACCCCAGTGCCAGTGGAAGGATGAGGAGGGAAGGGGGCTGCACAACAGTACCG